CACTACTAATTTCCCTGAGCATTTTCCCTTTTAATTCAAAAGTGAAATATCACCACTAAAGTATTATTCCAGTCCTTTTTATATTAAGTTCTACTGCTGGTGGTGGCCCTCCCATTTATATCTGGCCTTAGCCCACCATGCTGACCAAGTGCGGGTTGGCGGAAAAAAATTTCTATATTCTCTCACACATGCAGGCTTCCTCACGATGTTGTTGCAAGGGTCTCGTACCTCTGATATTCTCCTGTGCGAATCATTCAACAAGATTAACGTTGAAAATAAATTCGCGCATTAGAATATTAAAAGTACGATACCCGAGATTTAAACCCGTTTTCGTTTGTTTTCTCAAGCAAATGCACGTTGTTGCTGACCTGATGGTAATCATATCATACTTTGGAATTGTTCTCTCTCTAACTCTTAACACTTTAAAAATAAAATGACAATCTGTCTCACTCTAATGCACTTCGAACAGCGTCACTCTCTACCTCATGCTAACATATCTGCCTGTCTTTCTTTTATGTTAAGCGAATATTTTTGCACATATTCAGGTAAAAGTTTTTCTGAAATAAGTTCCTTTTGCAACTAAATAAGCAATAACATTTTTATGGAAAAATAATTAATAAGTAAGTCTTATACCATTTTGATATTTTGATTAAATGACCTATTTTTTAAAATAATTTGCCTAGGGTAGTGTAGTACATTATTTTTAAAAGATGATCACAAACGTCAAAGTTATCTGACAAAACGTTTATGAACATGACCCAATAAAACTTTTTTTTTAATAAACTGACAATATTAATTACTAGCGACTCACCCTCGCTTCGCTCGAGTTTGTCCCTAGGTTGCTTTCCATACAAATTTTCACCCCATTAAGAAATGATTTTCGGGATAAAACTTTCCTATATCCTTCCCAGGGTCTCAAACTATCTTTTTAACAAATTTCATCTAAATCGGTTCAATAGTTTCGGAGCCTATTAGATACTAACAAACAAAGAAACAAAAAAAACATTTTTTCTGTTTATAATATATAAATAATAAATAATAGATAAATTTAATTTCTTAAAAGAAAACATGCGCATGTTCAACCCTATTCACGCATGAATAGTAGTTTTCTTTACCTTTTCTCTTATGAAGGGGATCGTTTTTTGTTTTCCCAGTTGTGCTTTTTACTGTTAATGGGGAAACCCCTCTTTGTGTTTTTTTTTCTAAACAAGCTGTGTCAGTCGGGAAAGACTTGTATTAAGAAAAATACAACCGTTGTAACGAAATGCAGTGTTTAGTACAGCTATACTCAGCCTTTTTTTTATAGAAACCACAAACACGTTTCAGTAATGGTGTCGAAGGCCGCAAGCAAAAATTATTTAGGTCTCAATGAAAAAGTAATTCCAAGTTAACGATCTGGTTACTTTTTTAACAAAGATATATTATAATGCGATTTTTGATGCTGCCGCATGCAGCCCGCGGGCCGCAGTATAGCTGCTTTAGTACATCTATATAGATAAATAAAATTGAAGTGAATATTTATTTGTAATGTCAAAATAACAGCTTTTCACTAAATGAATATTATGAAGTTATATACGGTATTTATAAGAAAAATACCATTGTTAAAAATTTTGTCTGTCTTTTTTTCCGGCTGATCTCCGAAACGGTTGGACTGATTTTAACTGTTGAACGGACGAGACTTATGCCCGATTTCACCAACAACCCATAAGCTACCACCTACGTATATCACTACCTTAAAAGTCCCCTAAACTAGCCCCTAAATTAAATTTCGTTTTACGATCGTCTTTAAGCCCATATTTCGAGCACCTAAATTTAGGGGGCCTTTTAATATTTAGGTGAAACAGAAACTGTCCCTTAACAGCCCCCTAACCATGCTTAGGGGATCCCTTAAACTTAAGTGTCGTTGGTGAAATCGGGCATTACACTGGCAGATATTTGATGTTATAAGGAGTACCTTAGGCTACTTTTATTTTAGAAAAAAAGAATTAGGGTTCCGCTTAAAAAATAAAACGTACTTAGGGGAGCACCCGAGCGAAGCGAGGGTATGTCGCTAGTATATACTATAAAAGGTAATCTAGTATCTAACATATTATAAGAATTACTGCATATTATTAAATTTCAAATTTTCAAATTTCAAAATATTTTATTCAGCATTAAATTATTACAATTTTTTTAATGAACGTCATGAGTCTACTACCAGTTCGGAACTACTGCTACAGCTCGGAGTAGACTATTTAATCTAACTATTGTTCGTTCAGTGGTCAAAATTCGACCATACTCATTATTTAGAGAGAGAGAAAATTACATAGACGGAGCCTGCCAAAAAAATGTCAAAGTTAAATATAGTAGCGTGACGTGCTCTCTCTCTCTCTCAATTTTGACATACAGATTGTTTACTTTCTTTAAATGATAACGGAAATTTCATGTGTGCCACCGGAACCCTAAGCCTCCGCTGTCCATCCGTCCGTCTGTCAGAGAGCTGTGTCTCATGAACCGTAATAGATAATTGAAATTTTCACACTGTACGTATTTCTTTCGCCGTTATAACAACAGATAATAAAAATTAATAAAAATAAAAATACAAGAACCATTTTTGTTAACGTTCAAAATCGAACATCGAAGTTAATACACTACATGCATAGAGTAAAGGCCACACATATTAATAAAACGTACAAGTACAATTGTAGGAAACCCTTCGTGTGCGAATTCGACTCGCACTTGACCGATTTTTTTATTATAAAATCCCTTAGGTAGGTTTATTTATTAACATTTAATAACTTATCACAGTATGAGTATTCTAATAATATTTGTGTACTATTTTAAAACATTATTATTTGGCTTCATGTTTATTTCCATGACACTCTCTCTATATTAATCTGAGTTACTGACATAGCTAGCTATATACATAAAAATAACCGCCATTTTCAAAATGCCTCCAAAACAAAACGCGACGCATTAGTTAATATATGAAAGTTGTTTAAAGTTTATATTGATGTAAATTAAATTTTCTGTCGTTACACATAAGAGAAAAATTTCATTCTTAGAAATTATCCGTGATTTAGAATTTAGATATTATTACTTTATATTAAAACTCTATATTATATTACTCTATATTTTTCTAATTGTAATCCTTTATATACTAGCGACTCGCTCCCGTTCTGCTCGGGTTCGTCCCTAGTTACGTTTTAACGTTTAGTATAGATTTCTCAACTGCCTCGGTGGTGTAGTGGCTAGCATGTACGGCTTCACACTCGGAGGTCCTGGGTTCGAGTCCCGGGTCGGGCCAAGTTTAGTTATTGAGTCTTTCTGTATAGTAAGTCTCAGTAACAGCCCGGAGTTGGGAAGTTGGCGGTGTTTCACCCCCGTGCCTCGGAGAGCACGTAAAGCCGTCGGTCCTGCACCTTAACTCTCACTGGTCGTGTCTCGTGTCGTCCCACCGGAGTATGAGAGTGACAGGAATAGAGAGTGCACGTTGTGTCTGCGCGTACACTTGTGCACTATAATATCTCCTGCGCATTTGACTAGTCTCAATGTGATTGGCCGCCGTAGCCGGAGTCGACTACGAGAACATCATCATCATAGATTTCTCAGAGATGAGTTATTTTACCGCAGTAAAAAGTATGTTATATGTTGACCCGGATAACCAGCTATCATCATATCATCAAAATCCATCCAGTGGTATTCTCGGACGTGGTGGTCGGACGGACAAAAATTCTAAAAACTATAAATTCGGCCTTTGCATCGATAATGACTATTTCAATAAGATTTTCCAAAAAATATTTAATGTACAAATTCGACTCGGCTTGAATTTTGTTATAATCGTATGTATAGATAAAAATCATATCCGATGGCTTACAAAATATATATTCATTATTATTTGGGCATTCAATCGTTTCATTTTACCTCCAACAACACACCGTACAGTGATACTGACAGTCTTGAGTGTCGTAAATTCTGCTGAAAGCTATACAATTAGCGATCAATTTCCGGATATTCTTATCAAGAAAAACCGGGTATCTGTACATATAATAAAATTGTAACTAAACCGAATCTGTACGTTGAATATTTTTTGGAAAATCTTATTGAAATAAACATTATTATCGATACAGAGGCCGAATCTATATTTTTTAGAATTTTTGTTTGTCTGTCTGTCTGTCTGTCTGTCTGTTATCGCATCATAGAAAAACCACTGGAGGGATTTTGATGAAATTTGGTATGGTTATAGCTGGTTATCCGGGTCAACATATAGGATACTTTTTACCGCGGGAAAATATCTCATTTCTGAGAAAAAATACAAAATAAGTAAGAGTATACTAATATGTAAAACCTAAGAATTTGGTTTTACATATTAGTATACTCTTATCTGAACGCGGGCGGAGCCGCGGGCAATGCTAGTTACCTAAATAAAAATGAAACAATTGTTTTACGAGTAGCCATTAAAGTGTCTTATAATCCGCATCCTGGCTCCATTAAGAGATCAAATCGGTAGAAAAAATGCTTGTATTGTCAAAGTTTCATATCAATACGAGAGTTTGATGAAGATTTAATCGACTTTCAGGGTTTGGTTGTATAGTTCCTAATGAATCTAACATAACCATCAATGGGATAGTAAATAACAAATAACGTGTTGCATTCATCCCTTTTTACATCCTACTGCTGGGGGTGGGCCTCCCTGCAATACGAGCGGAATCAGGCCCTAGTCTACCACGCTGGCCAAGTGCGGGTGGAGTTTACATGTCTTTCGAACCTTCTATATTCTCTCAGAAATTCAGGTTTCCACACATTGTTTTCCTGAAGGAAGTTTTTTCTGTAAGACGAGTGGTGTAGAAATGATTCGCACATGAAAGTATTTGTAGTATAAAGTATCCGGGATTTGAACCAGTTTCACTTGGTTTCCCAAGCGATCGCGTTACCACTGAGCTACCACTGCCTATTTAACTAATATTATTTTCACATTACAATATATTTTTTTCAGGTAATCGGCATGCCGTGGTCGTGAAATGGATGGTATTCAAATGGAGCCAATCGGCAAGTATAAGGCCGATCGTAACGGGTCCGCTAAGGGTGAGTTTGGAAAACATACTAATAAAATTAAAAATACGAATCATATGAAAGCGAGCGGGACAGAGTGAAATAAGGTCAATAATTATTCTTGCTGTCTCTTTCTGGAAGTTAATAAAAAAATGTGTGTGTACTTATGTACGCACGTAAGAAGTTATACTTCTTTGGCGTAACAGAATAAAAAAAAGTGAAATATGAATTTGGAAATTGTCAAAGTAACTGCAAAAGAACATAAACTTATCGAAATAAAGCTTGTAAAAAATAACAAATAACTAGTATACTAACCTTTTCCATCCAAACATGTTCCTCCGACATAACGAATCCATTGTTGTCATATCCAAGCTTTTCATTCATTTTTCTTTATCACTACGATCTAATTATAATAATTTTCCTCACTGACTACAAAAGAATCCTTGAAATTGTTACATAAAACTGATGAATATGTAACGATGATACATAAATATAATACCTGCTTATAAAAATATTATTATTATTTATTTATTGTTTTAAAAAAAGGGTGTGTGTAAGAAGTAATCTTTACGCGCGGTTAAAGTAAAATTTCTTTGGCAAATATCGCAATTAAATTAAAACAAGTCTATAATTAAATAAGGCATATTACACTCATATTTTTTTCCAAACGTCCTAAAATAAGTATAATTTCAATAATTTCATCGGTTCAAAATACTAACGACAGGAGAGCGAGCGAGACAGAGCGAAATAATGTCAATAATTATAAGAATAATTATGGCACAGCAAGAGCTGTCTCTTTCTAGAACTTAATAATAATTTCAACGGACAAAATTTTGTATGTTTGTTTATTTAGTTTGTTGTTTAGTAGTGTTTGTTAGTTTGACATGGCAAAGGCTTATTATTTGTTGTGTTTTATTGAGTTCAGCTCAGCAGAACTGCTTTCCGAGCTGGTGGTAGACTCCTCACGGACTTACATATTATATATTTAAATTAAATTCTGAAAATGTGAAAAAAAAGAAAAAAGTCTATTTGAATAAAGTATAATTTGATTTAATATAATCGGACATAACTTCATGCTAAATCAAATTTGGACAAATTATTCGTGACTTTATACGTGACTAAGTACACTTTTAAAACCAATTTTTAAAATCAATTCGCAATAGACGAAGATAATAAATAAGTTCATAGAAAATCATACCTACATCTAAATTGAGAACTCATTTTTTTTGAAGTCGGTTATATTAACGTTAAATTTTATTGAGTTTTATCTTTTTTTGTGCAGCGGCCGCCTGGCGTAACATGGTTGACCAAGATCTTGATGACGTGGCTTTTTTGGCTGGTGAGTACTCCTTTTAAATGTTCTTTTAAGACCGTCTTAACTTCGTGTATGTTTTTGACTGATACGTCCTTTTGTCAAAGGTCGTAGTTTCGATTTTTGCAAATAGGTACCTACCAGATACAGAGTTGCAGTAAAGCGGATATTTTTATCTTTTTCATTTTTTAGTAGTGGATAGTTTAGATATAACTACTTTTACTACTTTATTGGTTATAGGTATGTATGGCTGTAGACCCCAAGGTCCAGGGTTCGAGTCCCAGATCAAGTCAAGTCTACAGCCCAATAACTATAGGGGTTTTCTGTAAAATAGACGTCTTGTCCTTGATCTCTCATTGGTTATCTTAAATTATAGGTCCATCAGACTTGAGAGAACAAGGATAGAGAGCGAAACTCTTCTGAAGGTGCTTAGTGAGATATACCACTGACCGAAATCTGTTATTAGAACATTTTATATTTTATTGAATAAAAAATTTACTTCAGTCTAGAATTGAACCTATAACCTAAGTTAGTATTTTCAAATTATACAAAAGTAGCAACCCTATGAATTAAAGAAAAACATCCAACAAGCGGTTTTCGCGAAGCTCTTCAACTTTCAAGGTGATATGTAAGCGCACTGCAATCTTTTAAGAGCCCTTTAGACGAGATAGTATGAAAAATGCTCATTTTCAAGTTTGTGCTTCTAAATTGAATATTTCTTAAATTATACTTTCTTAGATTTACGCGTATATTCGACAATGTAAATCTATATCTATGCATATAATAAAATTCTGAGTCGAATCTGTGCTGTATTAAATATTTTTTGGGAAATCTTATTGTAATAGACATTATTATTATCGTTACAGAGGCTGAATCTATACTTTTTAGAATTTTCTGTATGTCTGGGAACGCATCACGAACACACCATTGGACAGATTTTGATGAGATTTGGTATGATGGTAGTTGGTTATCCGGGTCAACATATAGAATACTTTTTACTGCGGGAAAATATCTCATCTCTGAGAAATCTATACTAAACGTTAAATAGACTATATTTTTGGTTTTTTTTTCGCGGTTATTGAAAAGATAGGGCCCCCGGAAAGACTAAGATTTTCGACTCAAAAAGCACTCCTAGATGCCACGAAACAAAATAATTGAATAGAATTTTGAATTTTTGACGTCTCAAAAATTCTATCCACGAATAACTATAATTTTGAGTTGTCAGAAATATAATAAACTAGCGACTTATCCTCGCTCATACGTCGATTTGTTCACAATTTCATGGGTTTTAATTTTTTTGCACGGAACCCTGTTATTTTTCAAAAATAAAAGTAGCCTAAGTTGCTCCTTATAATATCAACTTTTGACCAGTGAAAGTTTCGTCAAAATTGGTCCAGCCGTTTCGCAGATTAGTCGGAACAAACAGACAAACAAACAGACAAAAATTTTAAAAATTGTATTTTTCTTATCACCTCCAGGTAAATTTCTAAGAAATTAATTATAATTCTAAAAAAATCTATTGTTAACTGTAACGCCGGCGTGTCCGCGGTCGTGGAGGGATTATAAGTACCGTATATACCTACTTTCATATAAAGCATTTAGTAAAAAGCTGTTATTTTGACATTACACACAGACACTTCAATTTTATTAATCTGTATGTATTCAGCCCTTTTTTATCGTCCCAATGCCAATGAATGGGGTGGGCCTCCCTTCAATACGAGGGGGATCAGGCCATAGTCTCCACCACGCTGGCCTAGTGCGGGTTAGTCTGTATAGATTAAGTATATTTATAATTTACCTCATTGTAGATTGTTTTGATTTGGCTATTTTTTTTAATTTCAGATACAGACAAAGCAAGGGAAGCACGTGAAATAGGAGATGCGCCGGTAGCCGTGTGTTCTCAAAGGCGAGCATTATGTCTGGCAGCGTTGGTCTTTTCAGCAATGTTTGCAACTGCCCTACTAGTGGTATATGCGACGCCACAACCTGGTTAGTTACTTGATACTGTTATTTCTTTTTTTGTTGTTGACGAAAGGTTTGGCTCAGTTTGTAGTGATCCTACTTGCTGTGTCAGTCACGGGTTCGAGTCCCGCAGCATTCATTTGCGTGATGAGCACGAATGCTTGTACTCCAGTCATGGGTGTTTATATTTACAAAATGTGTGTATTTTAAGTTATATATGTATGTGTAGTGTATCAACTATCTTGTATCCATAACTCAAGCCTCATAGCTTAACATGGAGCTTCTTCAACAATCATCGTCATATTTCAGTCAATTTACACAAAACTTCAATGAACTAAATACACCTCAACCTTTCTCCTAAATCTTTCCGTCTATTGATGATATCAATATGAAAATCTGTTCGGTAGTTTAGTTTATCGCGTTCAAACAGACAGACAGACGCGACGCGGAGACATTGCTTAGTGATCAGGACATTCAGGAAAGCTGGGCTTCTAATATGCTAACTAAAATAATAATTATTTTTAAGGAATATATACATTTTGATTTGTCCACCGTCGTATTGAATTAGGTGCCTAAACTTAGAGCGATTATTGTTAGCTCGTCCCTTTTATAATTAAGCAGTATCGATCAAATCAAATATACCCTACTCGTACTTCAGGCGAATTGATTAGAGGCATATAAAATTCAGTTGGTCGATGTGAATGAGGTAAATATCTTAATTCAAATAAGCTATTTCATTAAAAAACTACGACTCACCCTGGCTTTGCACGGGTTCTTGCTCGGTGATTGTTTAAATAGACATATTTTTTATTTATTTATAAATATGAACCGATAGAAATAAAACAAATACTAAATGTTAAATGAAGCTTACCGCAATACACTTGTGAAAACAAAAGCAAAAGCTCGGATGTTCAGGTACTTTGTTATATAGATAACTAGCGGCCCTAGGTTGATTTCTCATAAAAATTTTCATCCCCATTTTCACCGCCTTAAGGGAAAAAACTATCCTATGTTATTCCTAGGGTCTCTAACTATCTTCTTACCAAATTTCATCTAAATCGGTTCAGTAGTTTCCGAGCCTATTCTGTACAAACAAATAAACAAACAAACAAACAAACAAAAAATCAAATCTTTCCTCTTTATAATATTAGACATTAGTATAGATAACTGTGGTATTTCGTTTTAGAATGTCCTTGTGCAGTAGAAAGTGACTTGCTTCCTGGCCAGACTCCCACAGGATCTGAAGAGAATGCGACATCCGCTAATAAGTACGTATAGCCAATATTGGTAATTGATTGTGTTTACGTCTGTATTTTTATTATTATTAATATTTTTAAAAGGTACTTAAACCGACCTGAAAATTGCTTAAATTAATTATTATTAGGTACTCTTATGTGACGTAACGATTTTAATGCGATTTTGTTATCTAATCGATAACATAAGAAGCTTGAAAGTTATGCCAGTTACAGAGAATTTGTAAGGAAATCGTTTAAGTTGGTATGGACATGTAAAGAGATGAAACGCATGTGACGAGAGGAGTGATGGAAATGAATTTAGATGGTTGGAGAGGTAAAAGAAGACTGAAGAAAAGATGGATAGATTGTATGAGACACGACATGGAAGAGAAAGGGGTAAATGATGAGATGACAAGTAATAAGGGAGAATGGAAGAGGAAGACTTACTGTGCCGATCCCAAGTAATTTAGGCCGGGAGATGATAATTTGTTATTTAATCCCTAAAATCTTGTTTCTCAAAGCGAGGACGTCCATTACGGTGGTTACATGTGGGGGCGTATTTTATAGATTTCTTGATAAATCTCTCTCTCTCTCTCTCTCAGAGGTTCTCTCAGATATGCAGGTTTCCTCACGATGTTTTCCTCCACCGTTTAAGCAAGTGGGAAATTAAATCCACATATATATATTGACAGAGTCTGGCGAGAACTCCAAAAAAAGTTAGCTTCTTTCCCATTTTGGTATTTACAAATACACTTATTTGTTTATCAAAAACTCTATTAGCAGTTTAGAAAACGCTTTAGTCCTGAGAAGAACTGCTGAAAGTTTATCAGCTAGATAACTCAAAGATTTGAGCACATTTCTTCCAGTTTCCAAAACTGATATTTGTATTCAGCCCTTATTAACGTCCCTCTGCTGGGCGCGGGCCACCCTTCAATATAGGGATCAGACTATAGTCCACCACAGTGGCCAAGTGCGCCTTGAGCATGTCTTTTGGAAACTTGCTAGATTCTCTCAGACATACATGTTTCCTCACGATGTTTTCCTTCACCGTAAGACAAGTGCTAATCATGTTAAAAATGATTCGCACATGAAAATTTCAGAGAAACTTTCAGATTCCGTTACCACTGGGCTACCACTGCAAACAAATAATTACACTATTACAATTTTTTTATGTATGTGTTTTTTTAACAGGGAAAGGATAGCAAGCAACGGTATGGTATATCCGTGGCGCGGCGCGAGACTGCCTACGTTCTTGATACCGAAGCACTATAGTCTGTGGTTGCACCCTAATTTGACGACGGGAGAATTGAGGGGTAAGTTTATTCTAGTCTGTTTACAGTTCCTCAAATTTCTCTACCCTCTAGTAAAAGTTCCGTTAAAATCAGTTAAGCTTTTTTCTTTAATGACAACCAAAAATTAGGAAATTAATAAAATTCAATATATACATGTAAGTAATGTAAGTATAGTTAATGTTATAATTATCTGAAGAGCTGAAACTTTAACAGTCTATTCCTATAATGACATAAATAACCTCTATTAATAGGGTAATAATGAAGTCCCAGTCACAGGGGGAAGGGGTAAGACGGAATGAGAAAGTTTGTACGTGTAATAATTATAAAACATGTCAGCAAACCGTCGTGAGCTCTTAGTAATTTACAGACAAAAAATTAAATAAGATTTTTTTAATAAAATATTGTTCTTTATTTATAGGTGAAGTATCGATAGATTTTAAAGTGGACAGAGACACTACTTTCGTAGTTTTAAATGTCCGTGATATGAATGTGACCGAGAGAGCGCTATTTAAAACTGGGGGCTCTTTAGGGCCTAAAGTCGTTAAGTCATTAGATTACCCTCCGGCTGACCAGACGTATATCGAATTTAAGGTAAGTTTCATTAATAGGGTAAATTAGGGTAAGTCTCGTTTATAAGGTAAGTTTTTAAATATTTTCAGTTTACCTTTAAAACTTTTTTTATTAACCTCTTGGGAACCAGAGTATCATATTTGATACTTGAATTAAAAACTTCGTGAAAGCGTCATCTGTTATATTTTCCTAATTTTTTTTTATTTAAGCCATAGAGTAGACCTTTAATGATTTATAACTACAATTTTCGTACTTCAAAGTGCTTAAAGTTTAAGAGGATAGGACAGTAATTTTTCCAAAATTCAAAGTTTTCGCCATGTCAACTTTACGTAAGGGTAAGTAATTATTAAATTATGGATTCCTAAGTAATTTACTATTGTTTATAAAGGTTAAGCTCTCTTCTTTGGATTTTCCGTAAGTACATAACGTAAAATTTTATTTTAACGTGAATATCATACGATAAATTGAGCATATCAAATGTGATACTTTGGGCACTATTGGAAATAATATTAACCATTTACAATGATTTCCGGTATATCTGACGAAACAATTCTCCATGAATTATTGGACTCCAACGTCTCCGATGATGAAAAGAAGGACTCTGACGTGGACGAGGATGGCATACAAGACCAGGATATAGATAAGATTGAGGAACAGCCAAGTTTGCAGGAACCAAATAGTGATTGCGATTCCTCTGATGATGAGCCGCTTCAACTACTACCCCGTTCAACGAGGCATGTTTCTATAGGTAGGCCAGTAATTTGGAAGCATACAACTGATTTTAAAGCCATTTTTAACGCATTCACATCAGGTGCAGTGAAAATCACTCAGAGAACAACCTGAAGCCTGATATCTAAAAAGATATTGGAATATTTTGAGTGGTACTTGAATGCTGAATTCTTTACAAACATGGATTTTTGTCCAAATGTCATGTCTTTTGTGCGCACAGAAAAATCAGTGAACTCTGCTGCTGCAGAAATTTAACGTTTTTTGGGAGTAGCATGGTTACTGGACTGTTAGGTATGCCAAGGATAAAACAATTCTGGCTTTTAGAAACTAGTGCGACTTAATGGCACCTGTTATGACTAAAAGACGTTATACTGAGATTCGTTCGTACTTAAAAGTCGTAAATGAAGCTGATGTTTTAGAATCTACGCAATCTAACGACTGCTTCTGGAAAATACGATCAATAGTTTTAGAGATTGAGAGAGCGTGCCGTAAAAATGTTCGCGACAAAAATGTCTCCATCGATAAGCAGATCTTACCTTACACAAAAATATGGGTCAAAAAACAACTGTTGAAAGGTAAACCAAACCCAGAAGGAATAAAACTTTATATCGCAGTGAATTCTGACGATGTACCATTGGATTTATACCTAAAGGTCTAGTAATATCTAAAGTAAAGGTAAAGTGGAATCGGCTTTGTACCCAACACCTGAACAATTAGCAAGATAGTAGGATAGCATTTGCAGGATACCATACCAGTAGGCACTTCAATTTACATAGATTTTACCTCTTCACCACTTTTGGATATCGTAAGAGAAAGAGTATGTAACGGAACGGCTATTTTAATGAAAAATAAGGTACCGAAAGTTTATATAGCTTTGACTTTTATATGTTAGGAGTGTGATGTATATTTATTATTTATGTTTTAAATTCACTAGGAATTGTTATAAAACTTTTCATCAGCATTAAATGTGAAAATTATTGTTGCGTAAAACGCAACAGTGGACACCGGCGGGCCGCGGTCGCAGCCCCACCATCGACAGCCACGGCGAGCGGCCATTACACGACGGAGCACTTCACTTCCTTTTGAGACCCGTGGCGACAAGACGACTTCAAATAACTAAATTCGTCCTCACTATTCCATTGTAACGACTAAACGACGATTGTACCAGCCTAAATATAATTATTATACAGTCCACTTTTTATTTTAACGTCCACCAGGACCCTAACAATTATACTGATTTAAAAATAAACTAACATTGAAATAACATAGTTTTTTTTCTTATGTGTCCCAAAGTATCATATTTGATACCACCTGAAAATCCTGAAATAGATATTTGTGTAACCTTTAATTGATAGTTTTGCATTAGTGTAACGTCAATTAGCCCAGTTAATAGAAAAACGCTGCTTAAATTCAATAATTTATAGTTCGGGTCCCAGGAGGTTAAGTACTTTTTTTAATATTTTTTTTGTAAATAATAAAAATTATAATTTTTTTAGGAAAAACTTCGACGTAAATTCAACTATACATTGAGTCTTCGGTTTATCACGAAGTTGGAGCGCAATGATAAGCAAAGAGGATTTTTCTTGGCGGGAACTAATAGACAGTAAGTTTTTATTATTATTATAATAAACTTATATTACTATAATAAGTTTGAATGGTTTAGGAAAGCATAAAAGACTAATGACAAATGTCCAAAGAACAGATTTTTTTTGCGCCAAGAACCTACACAGGCGTATACAGAATAACCCACCAGAGTTTCATCACAATCGGGTCAATGGTTTAGGGACGATAGAGGACAAACATACGAACATTGATCTTAATTAACGTATAGATAAAATAAAATAATAATTATTGTTTTTATTTATGCATGATTTTATAGAAAACACATTTCTTACATTAATTATAAACATTTAACCAACCACAAAAAGCAAATAAATCCGAAAAGAAGTTTTTATTTAAACATTAAAACTTTATTTCCGTGAATAATATGGATATACATATAATAATAATAAGAAATATTAAATTATTACCAGTCGCTGTGCAGTATCTCGGTTTTGGTTGACGCACGCGCGGTCGGCCTTCCCCTGCCTCGACGAGCCACACCTCCGGGCCACCTTCAAGCTGACCATCGTTAGAGATAGGTAAGTCAAGCCGCACTTGGTGACACGCTTGGCTCAGTTTGTAGTGACCCTACTTACTGTGCCAGGGGTCGCGGGTTCGAGCCCCGCTGAGGGCATTCATTTGTGTGATGAGCACGAACGTTTGTACTCCAGTCGTGGGTGTTTATATTTATAATGTGTATGTATTTAAAACTATATATGTGTAGTGTATCAAATAACTGGTATCCATAACACAGGCCTCATAGCTTACCGCGGAACTAGATGGTGCTGTCCCAACATATTTTTTTTTATTTTATTTTATCCCCTTTGTAGTAAAGTGAAGCTCACCCCCAGCTGTGGGACGTTAAAAAAGGTCGAATTATCTATTTTAATGTGCCATCGATTGGCAAAATGTGTTCCATATGAATAGTAATCTGATAAGCCTTGTCTATTGCTGATCTTACATTAAAGATACTGTCTAAAACAACATTCAATTTTTTTTAGATTCCACGTATCTCTAACAAACATGCCGATAGTCGCTACTGAGGAGGCTGGTTTTTATTTAGGACATAGATTGGTAAGTTTGAAAAATGTTTAACAATAACTAAGTAGCTTATAAATATTACAATATAAAAAAAAAACTTTATGGATTAATAATATTATTTAGTGTTGCTATTACTATTATATGTATAACCACAAAGAAAATAAAAAATTAAAATATTGTTTTATATGTTCAGCTGCAAGATGAATTCGCAGTCTCACCCCCAATGTCCACTCATATGATGGCGTTAGCTGTATGTCGACTTCAACGACGCGCCGCGCCTTCATTAACTGAAGTCAACGGTAATGGAAATGAAGTCAACGGTAATGGCAATGAAGTCACCGGTAATGGCAATGAAGTCGCAGTCACTGAAGCCCCATCGGACGACGCGCCGCTACCTCCACCGGAGATTAGCCTGTACAGTGACAAACAAGTTATATTGGATGAATCTGGGTAAATTATATTTATTTGTGTTATTACTCATTTTTAATTAGCGTTTCACCCCTGCTTCACTTGTGTGAAGCACTTCACTAGATCTTTTTACGATACATTTTATTGATTTATTTTAAACAATTTATACAGCAAACGCCGTTAAAAGTTAATGGTCAGGTTTGTCCCGCTTTAATATATATAACATTCAATATAAATGTCTACATTGTACATTTTCCCGACGTTGTGTTCATTTTCAGTTCCCGACTTTTCGAATACTTTACAGCATTTATGGTTCAAGGGAGTAGAATTATTGTTGCGTTATAAAATCGCAACAATTATTTATTTATAGAATTTTTCTTTATTATATAAAAAGCTTTTATTATATTTCAAAATAATAGTCTATGTAGTTCAAAAAAAGTTTCTTTTTAGGGTTCCCTACCACAAAGTGAAAAACTGTCTGTCTGTCTGTTTCTTACGACCCTTTATCTCAGGAACGCACGGAGGTATCAAATTAAAATTAATAACAAATACTCAGGTCTGCAATCCCTTGGAGCTGTGGAAAAATCGAAATTCGAAGTCAACGCAATCAAAAGATACGGCCGTGTATGCCGCATATGTTGACACTCGCAAGGGAATCAAAACCTATAGGGAACTTTCTCGTTGACAAAGAATCATGAAATTTGGCAAGAAGTAATGCCTTATAGCACAAGTAAAGGGAAAAATCCGAAAACAGCAAATTTGTAGTTACACCACTTTTTTTGCGATTATGAACTTTTTTAATGTTGCATGCTACGGAACCCTCGGTGTGCGAGTCTAACTCGCACTTGTCCGATTTTATTAAGTAAAACCATATTTTAATTTCAGACCGCTACTAGAATGGGTACAAAGGACCATCCAACTCTTCGCCTTCGAGTTAAACACTTCTTACCCCTTACCTAAGTTTGGTAAGTTATGTTTTTTTAATTTATAGGTAAGTTGAATTAACTGACTTTTCACAAAACTAAGTCTGAATCTAATCATCAGACTAAAGAATTATATAGACGGAGTCCGCCAAAATTAATGTCAAAGTCAAAAATAGCATGCTTTGCTTTTGAGAATAAAATTTGAATAATAGAAATAATACTATATTCTTTTGTATTTTTAAGCATCAGTTATCTTCCCTTGAAAGAGAGATAGCATAATATTAGCTTATAAAATCCGTTAGCTGATATAGCTAAAACGTGAGTTCAACTCGCACTTAGCCGGGTTTTTTATAATTACAATAACTAATTTTCAATATTAAAGTGCATCTGTTGAGTTTCTCTCGGGCTCTTCTCAGTAGAACTGCCTTCCGAGCTGGTGGCAGATTCCTCAAAGACTTACATACTGACATTTAATTTAAATTTAAAATATAAAATTGACGATTCAAAAGTGCTTGTAAAAGTCTATTTGAATAAAGTATATTTTGATTTTATTTGAAATGTTAAATATTTATTCCACAGATATTGTGGTAGTGGAAGGTGGGAATCAGTATTCAGAAGGATGGGGACTGATAACATTAGCGCCATCCATGTTATCAGATACTAAGGTCATAGCGAGGCTATTAGCTCAACAGGTAAATTGGAGTTATCTGTTTTGTTATAATAACTTTTTTGATAATATGTAGGGATCTATGGGATAGGATATGTGGGTATGGGTTGGGATATAAAAAACCTGATTTTATTCTAAAAACAGAATATTAACAAACACACAAAGCCCTAACTCTTGAACTAGATAATTGTCTTTCAGGAACTAGAAAAAAAGATTGTGTGTGTGCGTGTGTTAGTGCGTGCGTTTGTTCTTTTTTGTGTGTATGCGTGTAAAATAAAAAAAAATAACAATCCTCTCTCCTGTCACCCAGTGGTTCGGAGGCCTAGTTTCTCCTCGCTGGTGGAGCTCTCAGTGGCTTCTCGAAGCCCTGACCTCCGTCTTAGGGGAGAAGGCCCCCGCCATTAGCGGAGGTCCCGCAGAGAGACAGCAAGACGCGTTGTTATTGGACCACGTGTTACCTGCTCTTAGGTGAGTTATTACGTCAAGTTGCTCTCCAGTGATTTGTTTCATTCATTGACTGGACCAAAGAGGATAAAGGCAGACCGTCAATTTGGGGGCCCTAGGCTGACGCTTATTGAGGGGCCTCAACTATGTAAATAATTGTAATTTGGTCTTTATAAAGTCTATAATGATGGTAAGAGACGAAATTAAGATAACGTTATTGTTTGGTTCTTAATTAATCAGGCCATAAAAGGTTGTCATAATAATCTTTCATGGCCTTATTTCCTTTAAGTTTAGAAAATTTTTTATTTTATAAATTCACAATATGCCCCATTATTCTCGACATGGGGCTCGTTATATTTTAGGGACCCTGGTGGCAGCCCTAAAAGCCTATATGGCCTGCCCTTAAGTGGAATGACTCAATGAATTGTTATTTTCATGTAGTAATGCATGTTACTTTGAGGCGCCATAAGTTCAATAAAAAACTTTATTTGTAGGGTTTGAAATATGATTCATAGATATTTTACCAAACTTTATTGGCTACTAGAATAGCTTATTCTTCGAACATAAAGCAAAATATTTACAAAAATATAAAAGTTAAATTCGATTTTTGTGTAGTTTTTAAGGGTTTTTTATTTTTCCGCTGGAACCCTAAATATTTTCGGAATGAAACATACCCTATATGTAGCCTTACAAGCAATTCTATCTTTCAGTGAAAGTTCCATTACAATCAGTTAAAGATTACTTCGGAAAAACCAAAGAACAGAGTGACAGACAGACAAAAATTTTAAAATGGGTTATTTAGGTACTGGTATCATGTAAATAACTCTATGTACACATAGTTATTTTGAAATAACAGATAGACATTTCAATTTTATTTATATGTAAAGATATTTTATTTTCAGGTTAGACTCCAGTTACTCGGTGAGGGCCGTAGCCTCACCCAGACTCGAGAGGGCGGACATTGAGTCGGCTACAGATGAATTGTCCTTACATAAGGTATGATAAAAATATATACAAGAGACAGAGAGAGGGAGAGATAGAGAGAGAGGGAGTGTAAAAACTTCCATGGCAAAACAGGATATTTACCAAATTTTTTTACTTACTTTTGAAAGTAGTTTATAGACTTACAATTAGTATAACCGTATACTGGTGACCATGGCGCCTCTGACAGAGCTGAAAATATATCGGGAACTCACAAAAGCAATTGCTAAACTAGGGAAATATCTCGTTTTTAGTCATTTAATAATACAGAACACTTATCTATTCTAATATTATACAGAGGAAAAAATTGTTTTTTGTTTGTTTGTATCGAATATGCTCCAAAACTACTGAACCGATGTAATAAATAGATGAAATTTGGTAAGAAGGTAGTTTGAGATCCTGGGAAGGACATAAGATAGTTTTCATCCCGGAAATCATACCTTAAGGGGGTGAAAGTTTGTATGGGGAAGCAACCTCGCTAGTAAATATTAAAGACAAAACCCCTTTTTCAGGGTGCAGCGATAGTGAGCATGGCGATAGAAGCAGCGGGGCAGGAGGCGGGGCGCGCCGCGCTGGCGCGTCTGCTGCGCGAGCACCGCGCCGCCAGCGCCGACGCCAGGTGCGTTTTGTTAATTATACGTAAAATAATACTACCGTCATAAAAAAGAATTACAGGCATGCACAACATTTTATAATTAGGTAATACATACACTCTACTTAAATGACAACAATATTAAAAAAATAAATGAAAGGTAACACTAAATGATATCTTTAAGATTTCTTTTAAAATTGTACATTGTATTTGAAAATATATCTATAACAGGATACTTGCGAGAGATTTCATTATAGTTTATTAAAATTTTGTTTATTAACGTTATTTTAGTGATTAAGTTTGTGTATGTACTCTAGTTGGTAAGCCTTATTTAATAATAAAAAAAAGAAGGCCGCAACTTCGTCATAGTTGATTTCGAGATATTTTAAGTTTTGCCCCAGTGCTTAGTAGCTTGTACGTAATTACGATAAAAACTGTTATGGTATATACGGATACATAAGACTTAGAGATTTATGAGTAAGACGATCAAGTAGCAGTTTTTTGCTGATTCCGAATCTACATTTAAGTCATTTTTGACCAAATTGTTAGTTAAGACCTTTTTTATTTGACGGCAGGATAGGTAAGTTGTGATTTTTGTATTATTTAGGTAAGTTTTAATAGATCGCGGCTATTAGAAAAAAATATGAATTTAATTTATTTTAACAATGTAGGTACAATACATTAATAAAATTTATTAACCTACCCACACTCGCTTTCCCTGACCTTCATAATAAAATATCAATCTTTATTTTCTATAAATATACTAGCGGCTCACTCTCGCTTCGGTCGGGTTCCTCCCTAGGTACGTTTTAACGGTTAGTATGGAATAGATAGACTATATATTATATTATAATATGATATATGAGCTTATAATTAGACTATCTAATGCAAAAATATTTTTTTAAATGGGATTCGTAGATTCTGACATTAGCGTGTTCAAACAATCAATCGATCGATTTATTAACCAATCTGTCGACCAGTCCATCGACCAGTTGGCCGACCAGTCGGTTGACCAGTCGGTTGACCGGTCGTTCTTTCGTTTCACACCCTCAAGTTAAGTTTAAGCGGCTCAGCGGTTTAGACGTGAAAACGTAACAGACAGACATACAGAATCACTTTCGTATTTTTAATATTATTATAGTATAGACCTGGACGACCGGACTTCGTTCGGCGTTTTTTCTGAAAAGATATAAAAAAACCGTTTTCTCTAATAAAGTGCGAAAGCTTATATACAAAACTTGATCCAAATCGTTAGAGCCGTTTCCGAGATATATGAAATAAGTTCAATAATAATATATACGAAAATGGATAATTTAATATTAAAAGATATTTTACCGTCACCAGGGACCTGTGGCGCGCCCTGCAACGCGACAGCGCCGACGATGCGCCCGCGCACGCGTGGGACGGCTGGTGCGAGCGCGCCGGCTACCCGCTGCTGTGCGCGCGGCGCGCGGGCTCAGACGTCGTCGTCAGGCAGGAGAGGTAATGTTCAAATTAATATCGAAAATATTACTTATGAGACAGACGATGTAAGCAAGAAACTAGGGGTTTTGATAATATTTAAATAAACTTATGTTATAAATATGTATTTATACAGCTCTTATTAACGCCCCACCGCTGGACACGGCTCCCTTTTTCCGCCACAATAAAACTTGATAAGTTCTCTCAGACATGCAGGTTTCCTCGCGATGTTCTCCTTATTCGTAAGTCAAGTGGTGATCATGTTGGGAATGTTGAGCACATGAAATATCAGAAGTGCGAGACCCGGGATTTGAACCCGCTTCACTCGTTTTCCCAAGCAAGCGCGTTGATAACACTGGGCTACCGCTGCCTCCAATCATTAGTAATTAATTATTTTTACTATATTTGACCACAGATTTGTAATGTCGGCGGCGCCCCCGGTGCCGGAGCCGCCGGTCGCCGACCATCTCCTCACCCTCGACCTGAGAGCTGAACTGGACGAGCTGTTCTTTGAGCCTGGTATGTTTTTTTTATATTTATATTTATGCTAACTAAAACAATATATTCTTAATGCGTTTATTCCGTGAGTAAATAAAAAGAAGGTCTTATTATAAGACGTCTATGCCTACATATCTACCTATAAGTACATATAATAAAATTCTGAGTCGAATTACATTAAATATGTTTTGGATAATCTTATTGAAATAACCATTATTATCGATACACAGGCCGAATCTATAGTTTTTGGATTTTTTCATAGTCAACATATAGGATACTTTTTACTGCGGAAAAATATCTCATCCCTGATAAATCTATACTTAACCTTAAAACGTAATTAAAAAAATAATAAAAGATAAAAAAATATATATATATTTTTAAATAAAACTTTATTGTAGAGAGTATTAACACCTCCAGGTAAATTTCTAAGAAATGAATTATTTTTCTAAAAAATCTATTGTTAACCGTAACGCCGGCATGTCCGCAGACGTGGAGGGATTAAAGATTTTTATAAATAACAATAATAACTTTTTAAGTTCACTTCCGCCTGTAGTTGTTAAAAATATTCATCTTTTGTATAAGCCGGCCGTTTGGCCGGTCTTAAGACAGACAAACATATACAAGACACCCTCTTTTTTTATAATAGAAGCAAAAGTATCTAACCACATCTATCTAACCACAGATCATATAAACTATTTAGCAGTATTTTTTGTAGATTAATTTTATAATGTTTTACGTCATATAATTTCAGTTATTTTTTGTAAATTTTTAGTTTTTGTTAAGTTTAATTGTCAACATCACCCCTTGATATGATTTACGTATCAGTGGAAACATGTACTTTATTATATACTATTGTATGAAAATTGGTAAATGCTATTTCCCTAATAAAAATGGGATAAATAATACTAGTCTCAAACAGAAATAAGGTATCCCACAGAAAACTTCACGGAAATAAGTGAAGAAGATGTGAATTCAACAACAACAACCCCGGCGCCGACGACAACGACTACAGTCAGGACGACGAAGGCGCCGCCCGCGCCGCGGTGGGTCATCCCCGTCACCTTCTCCGTGGGACCCGTCGTTGAGGAAGAACTGGAGAATATTACCAAACTGTGGAAGAACACCACGGAGAGTATCCAGAATGGGACTTGGTAAGCTTTTTTAATGTTTATTGTTGTGTTAATTGTTTTACGTTTTTAAGTAAGTTTTTAAGTGGGTTTCCTTGCTGATCCATTTTAAAAAAATGGGTAGTAGGTACTCTAATTTCTATAATCTAAATAGCTAATAGAAAAGTGAAGTTAAACTTTTTGATTTAAAAGTACTTTAAGCATAATTTTAATAGCAATTTTCACTTTCACGGGTGAATCAAGGGTTAAGCAACATGTCGCTTATTAGATATAAGTATCTCGTCTCTTTAATCCATATCGCTTATAAAAAACCGAAGTAAAAACTTCGCGATTAGAAAGTACATTTTAAAAGCAAGTTTTACACTCACGGGTGAATCATTTAGTGAAATTTAGGTTTAAAAAACCTAAAAAAAACTAGAGGCTTTAAAAAAACTGTATAATCTGTATAATTGTTAAGCAACATGTCGCATTATATATTCCCGATACACAAATAAAATACATCGAATTAAATACCTGTTTTATTGAAACCTGTCAAAGACAACACGTGACATAACGATAAGAAATGTCATTTCCATAGATACTTTCAGTTTTTTATCGGCGATAGCAATTGTAGAATGTCAAATTGCGTTTGGATTTTTTTACCTTTTTCCTTCAACGTAGAATTTGGCTGTTCATAGAAAACATAAGATATCAGAATACTAACGACTAAATATTTCTGTATATTTAATTTATTTTAAGTATTTTAATTTACATAATATATGATATTTTTTAGGTACGATATAGGCAACGATACGAAACACTCGTCAAGATGGTTGGAAAATATCACTTATTTAATCTGGATGAATGACACTGAGAGTATGTATATTTTTTTGGTAAAACCCTTACAGTGCCAAAAACTTATTTGACCCAGTAACGGCTTCGCTGTTATTGAATTTAGTATTGACGGTAAATAGAATTCACGCAATTTTTTGGGGTAAAAATATTGACAGCCCAAGTGCACAAGGAGTAATCGAAATGTAAATTTGCTGTTTTAGTCATTGTTTAAATATAAACAAGGAATAATAATAATCAAAACATATTTTTAATTAATTATATTTTAATGTTATAATTATAATTATGTAGATAATCATTTGGGTAATTTAGAAGCTAGATTCCAAGACAAACACTTGACAACGAAATAACATTTTAAAATGGCGACACGTAGTTCCAGTTTTGGCCGCCGGATCGCATAAGTTTATGGCACTATATATTGTTTAAAAATATCGACTTCTAATATACATACATATAAAAATAATAATTACACTTAAGTGAACGATTTTATAAAACTACACTATTTATTCATTCATTATAATCAATCATTTACATTATTTACTATATTTTTTCCGAAATGTCAAAACTTATAGCAATTTTCATAGAATATAAAATAAATATAAAAACTACTATTTCCATTTATTCTACCATTTTATACCTTTTTCTACCATTTTCTACTATATTCCAGTGGTAATACCGGAGCTCGGTAAGCACAAGTGGGTGCGATACAACGTCGGCGCGAGGGGACTTTACCGCGTCGCGCCACAAGACAGGAATGCCGGAGAGGTGAGTTATTTGGTAAAATTAGTATTAAGTATCAGATATATATAAATATAGCCATAAATAAATAGATAAATATATAAAAAACTATGTATGTTTTATCGGTTAGTATGAAATCCAAATCTTTGAATTTCTCGGCTTTTCTATACTATAATATGCATGTATTATACATATAAACCTACCTCTTGAATCACTCTATCTATTAAAAAAACCGCATCAACATCCGTTGCGTAGTTTTAACGATTTAAGCATACATAGGGACAGACAGACAGCGGGAAGCGACTTTGTTTTATATTATGTAGTGATTTGCAAAAATAAATTTATTTATTATCAGAAATCGTCGAGGATCAACAAAAAATCATTTACTGCAATATCGTGAAAGACACTGAAAATCATGCACATCACTATATATTTTAAAATAAAGCTCCCCCGCCGCGTCTGTCTGTATGTACGCGATAAACTCAAAAACTACTAAACGGATTTTTATACGGTTTTCACCAATAGATAGAGCGATTTATGTGCAAGGTTTAAATATATAATTCGTTAAGGTTTTGTGTAAATTGGCTGAAGTATAACGATGATTCTTGTAGATGTCGGAAGCAATCACGCCGAGTGCGAACTTTACGCGCTTTATGGGCGCGCGCGTACACCGATAGAGTTGTATTAAAACAATGTATTAAAGAACTATCTTAAAAAGATCTACATATTAAAATATTGCAACGTTATATGTACAGAAATATTTTGGCACGTTTCGAAAAAAAATTTGAGAGTAAAATTTTTACGATGCGCGCGCACACCGACAGCCAAAAAGTGACATGATGGAGTTAGCTGCATTCCTTTTACAAACAGAGAGTTGTGACATTCGGGATGAAATCTTTAACTATTATTGTTCTGTTACGACAAAGAAGTATAACTTCTTACATAAGAAACAACTTTTCTGTCCAGACAGCAGAATCAGCAGCAAAAAGAGCAGAAGAATTATACGAGAGTGGAGAACCAGCAGAACGAGCTTTACTTCTAGATGATGCGTTCGTCCTCAGCCGGGCGGGCAGGCTGCCCGCCAGCAGGGCCATCGCCGCCGCTGGTAACATAACTACATATAAACTACTATGGACAAACTCGATTCCCAATACAAACTTTCATCCCCATTTTCACCCCCTTAAGGGATGATTTCCGGGATAAAAAGTATCCTATGTCCTTCCCAGGGTCTCAAACTATTTTGTTACCAAACATCTAAATCGGTTGTGTAGATCCAGAGATTACCCCCTACAACGTCACACACTCGCAAACTTTACCTCTTTATAAAATTAGTATTGGTAATTATAAATCCATGAATTTGCTAAAATAATAATTTCTTAGATTTACGTGAATATTTGACATCTAAACATATAATGAAATTAAAATTGAGTGGAATCTGTACATTAAATATATTTTGTCAAATCTTGTTGACATAGTCATTATTATCGATACAGAGGTCTATAGTTTATAGAACGTTTGTCTGTCTGTCTATCTGTCTGGGGACACATCACGAGAAAACCACTTGACGAATTTTGATAAAATTTGGTATGATGATAGCTGGTTATCCGGGTCAACATAAAGGATACTTTTTACTGCGGGAAAATATTTGATCTGTAAGAAATCTAGGTATAATATTAACGTGTATTTAATATCAATAGAATTGACATTTAAAATTTAATAATTCTGTATTAAAAACTCTTTCGATAAATTGGTCTTTTAGACAAATTAGCACTGAGAGTCTGAGACGGCAAAATGTTGACTTAACTAACTGTAATTCTTCTTGAATTCTGAACTTTACAAGCTCTAAACCTAACAAACTTTAAAATTAATAAACTTTTAACCTAAACATTGATAAATTACTGAATGAATTGATATCTTTTCGATTACACATATAAATTAAATAATATCTAGGTATACATCTATAGGTACTCTATACAGATAAATAAAATTGAAGTGTCTATATGTAATGTTAAAATAACAGCGTTGTACTTAATGCATATGAAATTATATACGGTACTTTAAAGAAAAACACATTTTTAAAATTTTTGTCTGCTTATCTTCTGTCTGTCTGTCTGTTTTTTCCGGATAACCTCTGAAATAGCTGAACTGATTTTGACGGGGCTTTCACTGGAATATAGCTGATGTTAAAGGGAGTAACATAGGCTACTTTTATTTTAGAAAAAGAATTCGGGTTCCGCTCAAAAAAAATAAAACGTACCTAGAGATGAACCCGAGCGAAGCGAGTGTGAGTCACTAGTATTACATATATATGTTTAACTCATAAATCCCATACATACAATGTATACATACATAGAAGGATAGAAGTGACATAGAAGAATAATAAACACGAATTTATTTCAAGCGCATCTAACTACCGAACGGCACTGGGCGGTATGGCGCGTGGTGGTTGGACATCTCTCCTGGTGGAGGGAACTGCTCCAAGTGGCTGCATCAGGCCCTCACCTCCAGAAATTGCTGAGCACTCTCCCCCCGACTCTGCCGCTGTATTCTAATCAGGAGTTGACAGATCCAGGGATCGATGAGGAGCAGCTGTAAGTATAACACTATACGTTCGACGACACGTTTGGTTCAGCTTATAGTGACCCTACTTGCTGTGCCAGCGGTCGCGGGTTCGAATCCCGCTGGGGGCATTCATTTGTGTGATGAGCACGAATGTTTGTACTCCAGTCATGGGTGCTTAAATTTGTAATATGTATGTCTTTAAAGTTATATATGTGTAGTGTATCAACTGTCTGGTATCCATAACACAAGCCTCGTAGCTTATCATGGAACTAGACTGTTCTGTGTGTTAATGTACCAACATATTTATTTTTATATTATTTATTAATGGTATCAATCGGGTCAAAGTACCCTGAACCCTAAGAATATGGAGGAAAGTCCTCCAGACCGAACTACGGTCACGGCAGTCAGCCTCACAGATATATATGTACATAGGTATACATATTACAGTGCACTTACAACAAGACTTCATGCTGACTGACTAGTTAATCGATTTTAAACTTATTCTGTGTGTTTTATCGATGTTTTAACTTTGCAAATGTGTTATATCCGGATGATACTACAATATAATGATGGGCCCTCGTTTGGAGCTTTTTGAGTTTTATAATTTGCAAATAATCAAGCGTTTTCTTGAAACCATATTTGTTGATTATATTCTACTAGCAACTCACTCACGCTCCGCTCGGATTCGTCCTTAGATATGTTTATCGGTCAGTATAGATTTCTCAGAGATGAGATATTTTCCCGCAGTAAAAAGTATCCTATGTTGACCCGGATAACTAGCTATTATCATACCAAATTTCATCAAAATCTGTCCAATGGTTTCCTCTTAATATATTCCCAGACAGGTAGACATCTGCCCAGTGGTTTTCTTGTGATGCGTTCCCAGAAAGACAGACAGACAAGAATTACAAAAATTATAGATTCGGCCTCTGTATCGATAATAATGTCTATTTCAATAAGATTGTCCAAAAAATATTTAATGTACAGATTCGGCTCGGTTAGAATTTTATTATATGTATAGATTATCGTTTCGTTACAGTTGGTTAAGCGGTGCATTGCTGATGGCAGGAGTGGAATGGGGCAACGAAAACGTGACGCAACAAGCCTTAGAACTGTTTGAAGCTTGGCTAAACGAAAATGAAACTATACCAGAAATATATCAAGAGGTACGTTCATGTTTCTTCTATATTTAGTTCTTCGTTATTATATTTTTGAATTTTATTTTTATTAATATATAATTTCACATTTAGTAAAAAACGGTTATTTTGACATTAAAAACATGCTTTAATTTTATTTATCTGTATATTAGATAACAAATATTTGCGTAAATCTAAGTATAATATGACTTAATTTCAATTACGACTGTTTTTTTTATTCAAAAAAATCCCACAAATAACAAAGTAAACAAAAATCTGTTCAAAAAGGGGTTGCGAAGTGCGACAAACATCGCGGAAAGCAATTAGTCGGCCTTTTTCCAACCGACTAGTCGGCGAAACTCATAGTCCCATCTCTAGTATGTATCTAAAGTTATATATATGTAGTGTATCAACTATCTGGTATCCATAACACAAGCCTCGTAGCTTACCATGGAACTAGATGGCGCTGTGTGTTAATGTCCCGATATATTCAGGCAGCGTTCACGGCGGGCGTGCGGCGCGGCGGCGCGCGGGCGTGGCGCGCGTGCTGGCGCGCGCTGCTGGCGTCGCTGCGCGCGCCGCGCCCCGCGCTCGCGCACCGCGCCGTGCTCGCCGCGCTCGCCGCGCCCGCCGACGACTGGCTGCTCTACAGGTATGAACTATACTAGCGACTCACCCTTGCTTCGCTCGGGTTCGTCCCTAGGTTGATTTCCCATACAAACTTTCATCCCCATTTTCACACCCTTCAGGGATGATTTGTGGGATAAAAAGTATCGTATATCCTTCCCAGAGTCTCAAACTATCTTTTTACCAAATTTCATCTAAATCGGTTCTGTAGATTCAGAGATTACCCCATGCAACGTCACAAACTCACAAACTTTACCTCTTTATAATATTACTCGTAGTTTAGATACACTAATATTATAAAGAAGTAAGGTGTGTAAAATATGTAGGTCTGTGCAACACTGTCTTGGCTTGCTCCTTATCGGAGCAAGCAAGGATGCTTTGATTTGCTATTTGCCATACAACGTCATGAATAGATGTAGTATAAATTGTAATTAAGAATGTGTTAATAAAATATGTAATTTTTAGTACGGCAGCGACATAATCAGTTGTAGCCATGTATTTTTTTGATTTTCTTTTCAGATTTGCCTACACGGTTTTATCAAGTGAAGCGCAAAGAGGTCGGGATTGGAAGATGTGGGTGACCGCGTTATGTGCAGGAGTTTGTAGGTTAGTAAATCTTATTTATTGTATTATAAAGTAAATATTGTACTTCTAATAAATTATTGTTAAATAGAAATTACAAGTTACCATACATTGTATGTATTTAGGCCTTTTTTAACGTCACACTGCTGGGGGTGGATCTCCGTTAAATACGAGGGGGATCAGGCCACAGTCCCCCACGCCGGCCCAGTGCGGGCGGACTGAGCATGTCTGCAGACAACTTGCTAGGTTCTCTCAGACATGCAGATTTCATCATGATGTTCTCCTTCACCATAACACAAGTGGTCATGAGGTTGAAAATGATTCGCTTATCAATAAATCAGAGTTGCGAGACCCGGGATTTGAACCCGCTTCACTCGGTTTCTCAAGCGAGCGAGCTACCACTGTACTACCACTGCCTCTGACTGCTGTACATCTTTTCCTTGTGTATTTTTTCATTGTGCTTATTTGTTTTGTTTTATGTTTATTATTATCACACACTAGATGGCGCGGGGCAGCGGGTATCTGGAGGATACTGAATATAACAACGCTGCCGCCTCAAGCTCTGCAAGCGGCTGCGCGCTGCTTACACCAACCCCGGGACTATTATAGGGTGAGTAGTACAGTACTTACATATTATAAAACTATATGTTCTAACTAACTTTATCACCTCGTCTGGTAACATAAAACAGAGATTTAGATCATTATTCGCCAAAAAAATGCAAAAATGCATGGTTTTTATACAATAGCTTACATCGTTATATAATTGTAAAAAATATCCAGCTCCAAAAAAGTAGAATTTAGTTTTTTTTAATATCATTCCGATACGGATATCCTAAACGCCGGCCATTTCATGCGCTCGGCGTGACGTCAAAACCGTTTTTATATAGGAATTTACTTAAATTAATGACTACTTTATAAAAAATGTGTATACCAGTTTAAAATGGTAGGTATACCTACTATTTTATTCATAATTTTATTGTAATATATAAGATAATATGATTAACTAACTCACTAACTCCAGTTCAAGGAGCTATTCGGGTCTCAGCGCGGCGCCGCGGCCGCTCTCGACACGATAGCACTGAACGCGGCGTGGGTGTCGCGCGCGGACGCGGACCTACTCGCCTACTTCAATGCGATACACAGACGGACTGACTGAATCGTTTCACTATATAATATATAACACTGAATAATACAACAATGTAATAAAGGCATAACTCAAAAACAAACTTAGTCTAATACTTACAACAACAGGGTTGAAAAATATGTCGACTTATGCCTGTTTTATTTTAAATTATAGTTTTTAGGTATATAATACATCTTGTATGTTATGTAATGCAGTGGTAGCCCAGTGGTAATGCACTCGCTTGCGAAACCGAGTGAAGCGGGTTCAAATCCCGGGTCTCGCACCAAAAGCTATTCGAGTATTTTATATAGTGACTAGCGGACCCGACAGACGTTGTCCTGTCTACACGTCTTTAATTTGAAAATTTCAAACTTTTTTTAATATTTTTTTTGATGAAAATTATTATTCAAATTGTGAATCTAAACCATTCCCAGATCCCCTTGAACACACACAAAAAATTTCATCAAAATCGGTCCAGTCGTTTGAGAGAAGTTCAGTGACATACACACTCACAGAAGAATTATATATATAAAGATTATAAAAGAAATTGGTCGAAGACTAAATTTTTCATACCAATATATAAAGTTTATTAACGGCATAATTCGAAATATTTTAATAATATTTCTGTTTCTGTTTAGAAAGTGTCAGTTTTGGCACTCTTTACTGTGTTCAAGTTAAATGCATTTCTGTTACATTGTTGTATTATATTAGTTTTAAATTGTTTATTCATTTATTTATTTTAATTTCATAGGAAATAGTATTAATATTACGTTTTTTTTTCTAGTACTAATATTAGATTTTTATTACTAATCAGTGTTTATTTAATTTATTCCATTTTTGTAATTGATTCTAAGGTTTTAATCAGTTATCAAGTAAAAATTTTACTTTATAATTGTATTATTATTATTTAAATACAAAAATTACGTATCAAGAAGTCTGCATCCATTTATAGATTATAAAGTTGCCTTCGTAGAGTAAATAAATATCACTTGTTAATATAACATTCAATAATCACAGTTAACCATGCACATACATATATTTATTATAGGACATGGGATTTATATAAAAACTTGTGACTTTGCGCACTACAGTAGGTTTTTTATCTATAGGTACTAATATTATAAAGAGGTAGAGTTTGTTTGTTTGAACGCGCTAATTTCAGTAACTACTAATCTGATTTGAAAAATTATTTTTGTTTTAGATAGCCCGTTTATTGAGGATGGCTATAGGCTATATATCGTATAATACATATATAGTTTATCTATTCCATACTAACCGTCAAAACGTACTTAGGGACGAACTCATACGAAGCGAGAGCGAATCGCTAGTATTTTATAAGTGTCCATTTAAATAAAAATAATAAAATGCTATATGTTGAGTTAAAAATGTGACCGGGATGTACCTACTTGTATTTCCATACCTATATAACATTTATTATCGAAATGCACTAAGCAAATACTCTTTAGCAAAATATTAATTAAGATATTTCGGCAAATAGACCAATGTGTGTTCGTGAAAGTGTGACATAGTATGTATATTCACATTTTCAAAAATTGGAATTTTTAGATGTGCCACTTTAACCTTGAAAATTTCATAACATTATTGTAAAAAAACGTGTGTGTGTACTTATGTATGCACGTGAGAAGTTATACTTCTTTGGCGTAACAGAACAAAAACAGCTAAAGATTTCATCCCGTATGTCACAACTCTTTACAAACAGTTGTAAAAGGAATGCAGCTACCTTCGTCATATCGCTTTCAGCTAACTTCATCATGTCGCTTTTTGGCTGTCGGTGTGCGCGCGCATCGTAATAATTTTACTCTCATATTTTTTTCCAAACGTGCCAAAAGAAGTATAACTTAAAAAAAATATTCGTCGCGATTGTCAAATTGTTTAATTAAAGTGGTTTTTGTATAAAGTCCGATGTCCCATGAAACCTATCACGTTTTAGTATAATATTTAACCATACCTTCTCAAGCTTTCATATTTAGGACCTATCTCTGTAAATACTCTAAGAGACAGCTGCGATTGGTATTTACATAACTGATGCCCACCACGAAATCCCGCAAAGTGTTTAAAATTTTAGTAAAAATTAACAAAATCGATTTTTTTGGCACAATTTTAGGCTTTCCTCCCATTTCATACGTTAAAAGATTATTCAAGGGATATAAAATTTAAATTCATCGATTACTTTTTGAAATAATTTTGTATTTAACACATAACTAAAATAGCGGTCGTCTCTCGGAGTATGTTGTTTCATTACAAATCTAAACTTTATTTAGCTTCTTTCATCATATATTTACAGTATTAAAACTATCCTTTTATGTTTAAGTGTATAGTTATTAAACAAAAGCGAATTGACTAGAATTTTGTATTTTTTTGTAATATACATATCGTTCTAATGATATCATAGTTAATTTTTATGAAATGACCGTGTAAGACAATTATATCATTGTAAAAGTGGCATAACTTTAAACACTTTTCACATATTTTTTCTATTCTATTATGTGCATTCCTTACATTAACATATGAAAGAATTCAAATGAAAATATTCGATTGGCAATATCATATAATATATTTATAATAAGTCTTCTAATATGTTTAATAATATTTTATCACTTTTAAAATAATTTGAATGTGTAGTTAAGCCACTTGTGCGTTGACAGCCTGATATAACATGTTGTTACACGCGCGCGCAGTGTTTTCCTATTTCTATTTAGGAGAGAGAAATTAAATTTATTTCATACTTGCAATTAATATTTGCATCCTCCACGCATACCTAAATAAGAGTATATAGGAGTCTGTGAAAAAATAGTAAATTCATCCTTTCTTTACAAAATTACTCAAATAAAATTAAACTTGTGAAAAGCAATGGTTGTCTAACTTAAAATTAATAAGCATTATCTATGCTTATAATAAATATATAGAGTATATATATATATATATATATATATATATATATATATATATATATATATATATATATGGTATATGTAGTATATATATATATATATATATATATACGACAAAATTTGCCATACTGTAGAAAAAATAAATGCATATGCGGTCACTTTATCTCATTACTGTAACCCTGTAACTAAATACATAACAATATGACAGCACGAAACACTAATACATACTTACTAACGTTGTAGCTGTCCCGCTTTGTCTGTGGTCATGTTAAAAATATAACTTTTTTAGTAGTTCATGGTATTTTTTATTACTTAATTAAATATATATTTCAATTTTAATAATATCTGATTTCTAGTCAATTTTAGTGACGTATCATACTAGTCCACTTTTAGTCCATAGTTAGGTTTTAGTAAATTATGTTATAAGTTAAGGCGAATGCGAAAATTAATTTTATCGTTATTTTCTAGAAGAAAAAATACGTAAGTAATTTCAAATGAACTGTCGAGATCAGTTGGACAAAAATTGATTGAAGGTTGTTTATATATAAATGAAGTTATCGGAGCGGAGATGTCTTAACACAATCACTGTGGAAAAACTACTTTATCTGTTTAAATATATTTCATCAGATTATGAAATTGATAATGAATGAATATTATATGTCGAAAGCAGTGGTAGTCCAGTGGTAATGCGCTCGTTTGGGAAACCGAGTGAAGCGGGTTCAAATCCCGGGTCTCGCACCTTTGATATTTTCATGTGCGAATTGTTTCTAACATGATTACCACTTACCTTACGGTGAAGGAAAACATGGTTTTCCAAAGACATATGAAGTCCGCCAACCCGAACTTGGCCAGCGTGGTATTGGATGATCCACCGAGTATTGTAGGGAGGCCCGTGCCCAGCAGTGGGACGTTAAAAAGGGCTGAATACACAATACACAATAATATATGTCAATGCAAAATACAACGCCCGTACTGCTATCGTTTGGATGATAATCGCAAATCGGTTTTCTGTTAAAAGTTTGAGTTAGGTCATTTCTGCTCTGACTGCCTTGTAATAATTATAGTCACTAGTCAAAATGAGCCAAACATGTATAGTTAAAGTTTTTTTTATTTAGACTTATAAGTTTATATCCTATTATGGACACTATAAAAAAGAATGTAGCTTCACTCCCATTCATGGTAATTATTTTCATTGGTTCCATTTTCTCATACAAATAAGTGTATGTACGTAGTTTTGTCAAAAGATTATAGATCAATTTTTTATATTAAGTGAGGTAGTTTTAAAATTTAGGCACTACAAAAATGTACTTCAGTCATATTGTTCAAATCTTTAGATGTAATCGAAATTTAGATGAAAATGTAACTTTGTATATTTTTTTATATATCAAGATGTTTTATATCTAGATTTTTCTAAATTTGTATTAAAACAGTATATGGTTAATGGTTATATAGAAATATCTCGGTTCGGTTGCCCGAACTTAGATGTTTATAACCAAATCTTTGAAGTTAGAATAAAATTCCGACCATTTAAATTATCAAAATCGGTTGTGCAATCGGTGTTGCTACATCCAAAAAGATTAGACTCGCCATTTAAAATAGATGTCTTTAAATATGGTAATTGAAATATTTAAACCTTGTATCCTTTCTTTTCGTGTAAAATAGGTCTAGTTTTAATTACATATTAAAGATTTTTTAAATTTTATCAAGTAGATCTTTTTAATGAGATATTTTGAGAGTCAATGTAAAAGTGACCCTACTAAAAACCATATGGTATACGAAGCATATATTTACATAGAATGATAAGATATGCACATTTATTGTTTAAGAGATACTGGAATTAACTGCTGATGAATATTAGATATCATTTTTATTGAAAAATTAGGTAGTTACTACGAGTTTTTTTTAATTTATTTCAATAAAAATTTGAGTTATGACGTTTTTATACTGACTGTCTTATTAAAAAAAGGTATATGAACAAAATCTTTAATATGTAATGATTTAGTATTATTTTAGAAAAATGTGTTTCAATGTCCATGAATTGGTGTAGCTGTAATGTTAGACAAGTAAGTTCTTGAAGATTTTGTATCTGCTTTTGTAATAAATTTTCCTGATGTATCTGTGTTTTTTTTATTATTAGTACCCTAGTAGTTGTTTCAGGAACTAACGATGGCAGCTTACAGTATTACTTCAGTAATTCATATATTTTTATTGCCTGTTAATGTAGATTTAAAATGAGATGAAGTTAGTTTTGCATCTTTACGTTATAGAATCTGCGCACGAACTACAATTTAGCTATATTTTTTTTCAACAGTCTTGCCATATAATAAAGTAATAATTAATACTTTTTTAAATTTCACCTTTTTAGTTTAGTAAAAGTTTTATTTGATTTTTGAAAATCTCAAACTATTAACATTATATAGTAATTGATTTACAGATGCTTGACGTTTTCATTCGAACAAAGTAGAAAAATATATCTACCTCGCTGTGGTAAGGCAATAAGCTATTTCTTAATTTGGAAGATATTAAATTTTGGTCAACTCTATTGGAGCATATGGATTTGTAAAGACATTTTATTTGTATTATTAGACAAAGAGTCGTCGAAATTATTAGGTAACATTTGGTGTGCCACTTTAAAACCAAACAAAATTATCTAAACTTAAATCTAAAAAAATGTTTATACTTACATCCATTTTTATAATCTGTATAGCCAAATTTGACGTAGTAACAGAAGTGTCAGGTATTTTTTGGCGCATTATAATGGTAGGTATAATACTATTTATATTTAGAATTAAAAAAAAATACAAGGTCATTTTTGTAGTTCCCTTATTATCCCGGTTATAAGGACGTCATTACATTTCAGTCGGTCTAGTTAAAGAAAAAAGTTATTTTATAATATAATTAGCATTGCCCGCGGCTCCGCCTGCGTTCAGATGACCAGAAACCAAATTCTTAGGTTTTAAACTTTAATATATTAGTATACTCTTACTTTGCAGTTTTTGTATTTTTTCTCAAAAATGAGATATTTTCCTTCGATAAAAAGTATCCTATATGTTGACCCGGATAACCAGCTATCATCATACCAAATTTCATCAAAATCCCTCCAATGGTTTTTCTATGATGTGGTAACAGAGAGACACAAAAATTCTAAAAACTATAGATTCGGCCTCTGTATCGATAATAATGTTTATTTCAATAAGATTTTCCAAAAAAATATTTAATGTAGGTACAGATTCGGCTTAGTTACAATTTTATTATATGTATAGATTTATTCTTCTTACAATTGAAAAAAAAAACAGCCACCACACACAGATGGCCTGTTAGCGGATTATGACATTTTTACAGTGATGTTACAATTTGAAATTATTTGTCACCATTTTTTTGGTCTCGGACAAGCAAATTAAAGGCTCTCTTTGCTCAGGCAAATAAATTTTTGAGCTCCTTAAATAGCCCAAATTATAGTTGAATTCTCATGCCTTATTTCTGGGGTTGTGGATGTAAAATGAATTAAATATGTACACAGACCGAGTTGCAGGCAGTAGCTAGTTTGGAACACAGTAATTACTTATTATTGGCATTTTGTAACACAGTGAAAAATTAACAATTAATCATGTGACGGATCAATTATAGAAAACAATTAGATTTCAATGAAGCGTTTCGTGACAAATGTTATTTTGCTACTTTTTGTCCTTTGGTTTTGCTTACGTTATATATTTAAATGTCAATTTTCTGTCAAAATTTGTAGATATATATATATATTGTACATATATATATATATATATATATATATATATATATATATGTGTGTGTGTGTGTGTGTAGTGTATCAACTATCTGGTATCCATAACACTAGGCTCGTAGCTTACCATGGAACTAGATGGTGCTGTGTGTTAATGTACCAACATATAATTTAAATTACAAAAACCATGACAAACACACCTTGTTATATATCGACTAGATTGAACAAACATCTCGTAGTTAATTCCTTATCAATTTATTTTCGAAGTCGTAGGCATGGGTCGTTTTAATTGAATATTTTCTAAATTATTCAAAATAATTATTTTTAACAATGTTTAGGCATATCGTGCTAGCTGTTCTTATGTTTTACTGTAATTGTACGTATTTTTTAATATTTATTTAAATTACTTGTATAATAAAATTAAGTATATTTGTTATTTTAACCTATTCCGTGGTCGTAACAGAGCGATTCACAGAACATCTATACTAATATTATAAAGAGATAGTTTGTTTGTTTGATCGCGCTGATCTCAGGAACTATATAGGTATAAATACTATATATCAGTATACAGTACTACAGTAGGTAGGTAGGTAGTAGCTAGTAGCTACCCAAGAGAGCTGAGCAGTAATCATAAATGTCAACAAATTGGGCAGACTTCTATACATTATTGTAAAATGATGTTTATATCGGAAGTTTTATTGCGGGCGAAGCCGCTGCTATTACGTATAAAAATCGATGTATGTATATGTTATGGACTCCAAAACTGCTGAAGCGATTTTGATGAAAATTTCAAGCAAACTTCAGATTAGCCCAGCGCATAATCCTGTGAAGTTTGTTAGTAATAGGCAAGTTGAACATGGACGAAACCGCGGGTACTGCTAGTATATTATATTTTCATATTTTATGGGTCACAGTACTATTTATAAATGTAAAATTTTGTGTGTTTGTTTGTTATTTGTTACTTCTTCACGTTGGAATGTCTGGACAGAATTTAGTACACATGAAATCCGCCAACCCGCACTTGGCCAGCGTGGTGGACTATGGTCTGATTTCCCTCGTATTGAAGGGAGGCCCACCCCCAGCAGTGGGACGTTAAAAAGGGCTGAATACATACATAGACGATAAAGCATGACATGAAGTAGCACACAGGCTACAGCTGTACCTCTAGTACGAGTTTACAAATTACAGAAACGATGATAGTTTTGGTGAGCTCGATGAACTATATAGTTTTCGATGTAATCGGTAGTACGAGTTAAAGTTTTCGAATATAGTTTACACGACGGCGACCATCGACTAGCTCGGTTGAACGAACTTCACTTTATTCGCTTCATCTCTTTTACACACCGGCAAAATAAAAGAGACAAATGTTGTCCTTCGATATTGTTTAAATTGACGTTTTGGTTGAAGTAAATTTTGAAACTTACTTAGTGCCAAAAGATCGCATAATGAGTGCTTATTTGTTCAAACGACCAATACTTGTTGTAGTTTACAGTAGAGAGATTTTGCTCTATATCAAAAACAAAGCTATATTCCTAAGATTTATATACAAATGTGGATAAAATACATTTTTTCCGGCTTTATTTGAGTAAAATGTGTATTTAATAATCAATAGAATTGACATTAAAAATTTAATAATTCTGTTTGAACAAATCAGCACTGATACAATAAAAAGACAACTACGCACCCGAACAAAAGGAAAGTCGCTAGTAAAATATATGTACAATGTTCTTTTAAAATATCATTCACTGTCTTCTATTTTACAGCGCATTCAACTAAAGCGTACCCACGAATATATATAAAAGAGATCTACGACACTAACAACAGGCTGTATGACAATTTCAGAACAGAATTGATAAAAAAGGGTTATGAACTGCTACAAAAACAGAATGAACTAAATTTAATTGGCATCAACAATTGTTTACAGACATACATTAAGATGCAAAACAAACTTAATTGCATTAAGCGATTCATTGCACAGAATAAGTATCATGAGAGGGGAGGGTCTAAGTTGCCACATGGACCACATTCTAACGACGATAGAATCATATACGATGATTTCACTGATATTTCCCAAAGAGAAAATCCTGAAAATATAAAAAATATGAGTTTTTCCCAAGATTATTTAGATATAAAAGATTTGTTACGTAGCAAAAGTGGTTCACAGAAAAAAAAGAAATTTGTCTTTCAAATCGTCAATCCTACGGAAAGACATACAGAAAATATGCCCAATTTTAATAATTTTAGAAAGTTTTATGCAAACAAGATTGACAATAAGAATTTGAGAATTAGCAGCGACGAGTCTAGTGAGTCAAGTGGTTCAGAGGAGATCCCTCAAAAGGAAAAACGTCAGGAGTCTTCTGAAAGTGAATCTGAATTATCAAATAACGCAGAAGTTACCACTAGAAAGCCAAAAACGAAAAATGGAAAATTATTATACATACAGTCTCCAACTCATTTTTATAGACCAAGTAGAAGACGCCTTCCCCACTTTCTACCGAAAAGATATCATTGGGATGAAGAGGATATAAAAAAATTACACGATTATTGGTTTAGTGGTCCACAAGGAAAATATTGGGGCCCTTATAAGACCCCGTATTAATATGATTGTCGGCCAAATGGACGAAAATTAAAAAAAATTTTTTAGAAATAATAATACCATATAGTTTTAGCACATCTCTAAACATCAATTTATCATTTTTCTTAGTCAAAATGGCGAGCTTTCATACAAACTCATCCGTCAATCACTAAAAAGTGAACTCTCGAAAATCTTTTCATTACTTTGCGTTTGATTAAATTAACAAATGTAACAATTAAATGTAAATAACTGCATACGTCAACTTTTATTTTAAAGAAAACTATTTTTTACGGGAGAGGATAGTATCCCGTGACCATGATTGCTGTAAAGCGTTCGAAACGTCGGGAACCTAAAATCGCACACATATTTGTAAATCTAATAAAAGTGTCATTTTTTATATAAATATATAATATCTTTGACTTTTTTATGGAGTTAGGCCATTTTTCCTCGACATCCCCATTAATATTGTCATACTAAGTTTTAAGAAGACAAATACAATATTTATTATTACAAAGAATATGCTTTTGTTATTTCATTTTTTATTTCAAAATAAAAGTCACGCATTATAACAAGTGACAGTATATTTGATAGTCACCCACGATTCGCTCGGGGTTTTGTTTTTGAAGTGAAAACTTCTATAGGCAGCTTTGTATGGGGTGTAAATTCATGTAAGTCGTCATCGACATGGTCACGTGACGTGTTAACGCTAACACTCAGAGTGTCGATAGATGTCGAAATCAGATAAATGTGAACATTTTTAATTTACACATTTTAATTTAAGATCAAACAATTTGAGTATCCAAAAATAACAACTGTTTGTTTTTAGTTTTTACTTCTATCGGCAGTCCTCGTGACTGGGTTTTTTTTAATTATTTATTGTCAGGTTCTAACCCACATAATATATTTTCCACGACCACATTGCGTTTGCTGCTTTGAGCATTGAATTACTCTGCTTCAAAAAATAGTATTTAAAAATTATCTTTTTAATTTCAATAAGTTTTGGAATGTATATGTATATTTTCGTTTAAATATCACTCCCGATATTTTTTTTTAATCTTTAAGTATATATGGAAGACCAGCAAGTCCTATTGTTAAGACGTTAAACTAAGTGCAATCTATGATATCTACATTAACAGTAGAGTACCTGGGCTGCCGAGCTTCGCTCGGAGTTTTTGGCCTAAAGAACTCTTTTCTTTTTTTTAAACTAAAAACTTTAATATTTAAAAAAAAACAAACGTAAAAACTTTGTATACGACCGAGATTCGAACCTGGTCATCTATGATTGTTGATCTTGCGCCTTGGCCGCTTGACTACGATGCTTACGTCCGAGCGTGCAAATTACCGACCATATTTCGCGTGGAATAATGCAAAAGAAAACTGCATGAAAACTCGAAAACACGCGTTTTCCCAGACATAAGACTAATCTAGATCGATTTATCGCCCCCGTATGCTAAATTTCATGAAAATCGTTGGAGCCGTTTGATAAATAATTGAAACTGCTGCTGTTCTTATGAAGTACTTTATTTATTGCCTTCCGAAACAGCCTTTAGGGAAATCTCATGACCGCCATCGTTTGATAAATGTTTTTATCTAATTTATTTATAGTCCTTAAATATGTAGGAAATATTTCGGCCGGGATTTTTGTTTGATTCGAAGAACATTTTTAATAAGGTAAAAATAAAACACCATGTAAATTGGAAAAAAATATATATTCACTGGATAAAACAACAAAAATATCAACAATCTAATGATCTTATCTAAATGCGTATAAATAAATAGATATTTCGAAGGAAATAGCATAAACTACCAAATGGTAGAAATTAATACTTGAACCATGGCAACACCGATGAGAAAACTACCAAAAGTCTCGATGATAATACTTCAGAGTTCCCATCAAATGAACAAAAACCAATATATTGCAGATTAAAAATTATCCTAAAAGTATCTTAAATACCTACTTATGAATTGGATAAATAAAATAGAGTATCTTAAAGTATCTTATCTTTGTTCAAAGTGAAGAAATTAATATAATAAAAATATGGATGCAATAATAAATGTTAATATTTATTAAAAGTATCAAGGTGGTACAATACTTATTAATTAATTACATATAAAAATCTGCAATATACGGCACACTGGCAACACTGCACTTCTAACTGTCATTAGAATTGTCGCCCAAATTTTGATAAGAGAGATGGAAAGGTAAAAACGGTTAAATATTAATGTAAATTTCACAATGAATCAAATTCCCGCTCGGTTTTTTTATATTTCTTTTTTATAAACTGGTAAACGATAAATTATTATTTGCCTGCCTTTAAATAAAAATTAACATGTTATGGCAGCATTAAAATTTGGTTTGAATTAAAAAACTTTTTTTGGCATAAAATAAACATTTACTGCAATTTAGGTCATTCAGTATGGCCAGAGTAAAAAAATATTTTTTTAATACTTAATAAAAGCTAAAATAATGCCACAGAAGCCTTTGAATTTTTAATTTAGTTTTTTTTATATATTTTATATGAAATTTACTTTAATAACCATTTGAATATAAATGAAATGAAATTTTAAATGTCGAAAATAATGAGAATGGCGGCGTCTACGTAAAATCAGAGCCTGCTTCGAATTATTAAATACATTAAAATATCAAAATCTATTTAGCCATTTTCACAAAATGTACAGAAAGACGCGTTAACACGTGCATATATTTAAATTAACTTGTATAAATAACTTATTATATATATATATATATATATATATATATATATATATATATATATATATATATATATATATATATATAATTTTTAGTGTGTGTTTTGAAGCAGACTACGATTGAAGTGTCGAAAATTAAAAAAAAATATATATGGGAAAATTACATTTCGAGTGTCTTTACAATTATTATAATTTATACACAAAAATTAAGCTAACAGCTAAAATATAATATTTTAAATGGAAAGCATCAGGCAAGTTGGCAGACATTTTGCCTGTCTGTGCGGCTTTAACATAGATTAAAAAAAAACAAACCAAAATGTCTTTTCCCATTAACAATAATTTCTACTAAACTAGTAGTTATTTTTTATTTAAAAAATAATAATACGTATATTAGGAAAACAGATATCTTGATAAATATATATTTTAATTTTTAAAGCCTCAGTTGCTTAATTTTTATAACGATATTTATATCCAGCGCGTGTAGAGGCAAAGGTGTGTGTAAAAGTGCTATTTATATTTTTTTATCTGTGGCGTATTGTAACATTATTAAAAACTAACAAAAAAACGAACTAATGAAGAAAAAAGAAAATCAAGATCTCCTTTAATAATTACATTACGTATTGTACAAAATGTACATCCCTTGAAAGTGAGAATTATATACGTTTTTTTTTCTCTTCACATCACTTAGCCCATAACTCTTAACTCCATAACGAATCACATCAAAAAAACCCACCCAAACAGACAAAACCTCGAAATTACACTACAAAAACAAAAAACAAACAAAAAACGAAAAAAAATTTGGTCGATGTATACACAAATACTGGCAACACTCAGTCTTTATGGTAGAAAATCCAGTTTAATAGAGCTTGCAACACCATAGCTAGGACGAAACCACCAAACAAATCCCACGAATGAGACGTTGGCACTCGACCCACGTTTTGGGGTCGAATTAAATTTCTATGACTTTCATTTAGCGACTCCACGTTTTTTGTTAGTCTCTCTATAGCTAAATTTTGTTCGCGTAAAGTCGAGTCTATTGAGTGCAGAGTTTGTTTTAGAGTTCGTCTGAAAAAAAAACATATATATAGTAATAACTATCAATAAATGATATATATAAATAAATTTGTAATGCTGTTTGTTGGTAAGCGTAACATTTGAGAACGACTGGACCGATTTAGATATATATATTTTTTGCAATAGTTTGAATAAAAACTTTTGAGAAAAAAAATATGAAAAATAACTAGAAAATTTGGGAAGTTTAGAAGAAAGAAACTGCAGGTATTTTTTTCAATTCCATTTATACTAATATTATAAATGTGTAAGTTTGCGAGTATGTATGGATGTTTGTAAATATTAAAAATGCAAAAGTTTGAATGGGTGTTAGTTGTGTGTTAGTTAATCACGCTAGAACGGCTGAACGGATCTGGATGAAATTTTGCACAGAAATAGATTATAGTTTGGAATAGTACAAAGGCTACTTTTTATCCCGGAAAAATACACGATTCCTGTGGAATAGATTTGTTTTTGTTTTTCGCGCTAGTTCTAGTGTTCAGTGCTAGTTGTTATATAAATCAGAAGACACTAACTTTACTGAAATTTGGACAAGACAGCGTCTGTGGGGTCAGCTAGTGATAAATAAAAAATTATTGACGTTTAATTCCTAATATATTAATTATAATCTTTAAAAAATCATATTAAGTTCAAAATCTAAGGATCAAATCGACCCCTTCCCCCGTCCATCTAAGGGGTCCAAACAAAAAAAAACTTGTATAATTAAAATTTTAACAATTATTGTTTTAATAAATGAAAAAATATGTGATATTTAAATTCATTAAAAGATATAATTCCACCCTAAAATGGTGGAAACATTATTAATAAGTTTTTTTTTAGATTTAGAACTCACGTGCTAGTTTTAGACCGTCTTGCTAAATCATCGTGACTGTCCGAGTCAGACCTCTGCACTAGCTCCCTTATCCTGGCTTCCCCTGAAGTCCTCGTTGGCAGATTTTTAAGCGTTGTTATTGTAAATTCATCCTCGTATTCAATCAACTCTTCGGGCTGCCATGGACTGAAAAATTACATGAAAATACACTATGTAACGGTGTAAAAAAAGGTTGAATTTTTTTTTTGATATACATTCATATTGTAGTTTTTAATAATCAAATAATATATGTGTACCCTACCAAGTACCAAGCTCACCTTGTGTTTGCGTGATTGTATTTCCAGCCTTGATCGATTATACCTAAAAAAAAATAAAAAATACATAAGAATTAAGGAGGGTACAAAGATAAAAGTAAAAGTGGTAATAAGTTGTACAATTATTGTGATAAAAAAAAGAATCAGACAGGTGCCAATCTTCGCTTATTGTGTTTCGCTCATCGAGCCCTTTCATTTGACGCCCATATCATAAGGGTCACTGTGGAAATATATAATATTATAGAATAAATCGCAATTTTGTAACGTCCGCCATATTGAATTGAAAATGGCAGCATTTAGGTAATCATGTAGTCATGAGAACCAAACGTGTGTGACAAATTTCAGCTCAATCGGATACTGGGGAGTGGGTTAAATTTAACTTGCAAGATTTCATTACAGACAGATACCGGGACTAACTTCACATTGTAGCCAATAACGACTAACTTCATACTGTAGTCTAAATCTGTCGCATCGTAAAAAAAATCAATCTCATCATTACATAAATAAATATGTAGGGACATTAACACACATCACCATCTAGTTCCATTGTAAGCTACGAGGCCTGTGTTATGGACACCAGATAGGTAAGACAGTACACATATATAGCTTTAAATACATACATATTATAAATATAAAAACCTACCTACGACTGGAGTACAAACATTCGTGCACATCACACAAATTAATGCCTCCAGCGGGACTCGAACCCGCCTCCGCTGGCACGGCAAGTAGACACTATAAACCAAGCCAAAGGTGTCGTCAGTTATCTATATATATATATATATATATATATATATATATATATATATATATATATATATATATGACAATAGCTGGTTATCCGGGTCAACATATAGGAATACTTTTTTTACTGCGGGCAAATATCTCATCTGTGAGAAATCTATACTTAACGTCAAAACGTATCTTATAACAATAGTGATTACCTTCAGGCGGCATTGAACTGGTGTCCTTGTGGAATAGCCGCGGCAGCCACGGCGCCACGAGGCCGCGGGCGCGCGCCCTCTGCGCCTCCTCTATTATTGTCTTTTGTTCTGTGGCCACTATCTGGAAATGGAAGGAATTGTTTTAAAAATTTGATTCAATTTCACTCAATTCCCTTGTTAATGGCTTCAAAGCGGCATTGACGAAGTAATTTATATTCTAAGCAATTTTTAAAAACACTTTATCAATCTATACAGAGAAATAAAATTGAAGTGTCTGTGTGTAATGTCAAAATAACAGCGTTTTACTGAATGCATATAAAATTATATACGGTACTTATAAGAAAACACATTTTTTTAAATTTTTGTCTGTCTGTCTGTTTGTTCCGGATAATCTCTGAAACAGCTGGATTGATATTGACGGAACTTTTACTGGAAGATAGCTGATGTGATGTGTGTAGGGAGTAACGTAAGCTAATTTGTAAGTTATTTTAGAAAAAGAATTAGGGTTCCGTTTAAAAAAATTTAAAACGTACCTAGGGACGAACCCGAGCGAAGCGAGGGTGATTCGCTAGTTAATAATATTATTTAGTGTTGCTATTATTATAATACATATGTACAACCATAAAGAAAATTAAAAAACATTACAAACGTCGGGAACCAAAAATCAAAATAAATCCGCGAAATAATCCGAAAAGATAGTTTTATTTAAAATTCTCTAAGACAAACAAATTCCATACAATTTATTGCCCAAACTAACCTGATCCTCATTTTGTATGGCCTCAGACACTTTGATCCACAGCCTCTGCGATTCCCATTCTTGCTGACGATCGATCTTCATCAGAAACCTGGGCAGCCTTTGTTCTTTGAGGATGGAAACTTCTAGAAGGTTTGTTTCTTCCTGGGAACAGATAAAAGAATATGGATAGAAAATAAAAGTTATTAACAGATATATAGACAATACATGTATTAGGGTGGCGCAAAAAAAACCGATAAATTTTTCGTGTCTCGTATGAAAACATGTTAGTTTTTTTTTAAGAGTCCTCTTTAAAAATCAACTCAAAAAAAAGGTTTAGGGGTCGCTTAATTTTTTTTAAAAAGATCAAAACTATTTATTTTTTTCATTTTTAAGTTTTTTTTTACACTATGCAGTAAAATTTAGGTCCTAAATAAAAAAAGTAAGTACATTCATAGCCTTTGATGTTATATTTTTTAAACATTAGTTCTCTTCCCCTCAAAAGAGAGATAACATAATATTCGCTTATTAAAAAAATCCGTTAGCTATTTTTATTTATTAACATTTATTTATTTTTTTACACACAGCATTGGCTTCATGCTTATGTCTATATCACTATATACATACATATATCATTCCTTCGTCTGAGTGTTCAGAGCGTGTAGCATCTTTTCCCCAAACCCTAAACCACCCAAGAAGAAAAAATTAAAAAACCTTCCTCAACACAAAACCCCCATACCCCCCAACCCTCATATACTATCATACAACAAAGGGATCAACTTACACCTGTCTTCTTATCTTTTATGTCAATTTTCCCATCCCAATAACCTTCTATGGTGGCGACGGTGTCCTTCCCTCGCTTTATCCGACCTGATATGGCGTTCGTTTGATCTGCTCCGCCTAGAAAAGACTGTGAAAGAAAAAATAACTATTATTAAGTAATCTACTATTTATTAGGGATGCATCGATACGCACTTCTGCTGATAGGATATCGATATTTATGAAAAATATCGTAGACATCGATATCGTATAAAAATAGTTCAAGCGCAAGTCGGACTAGCATACGAAGGGTTCCGTACGAAAATCGTTTTTTTTTTAATTTGTATGGTAGCCTTTTTTAAATTCGCTATCTTGGTTTTTTATTGTAGCGAATGTGTAATAGGAATACATACTCTGTAAAAATTTCAACTCTCTACCTATTACAGTTCATCAGATGTATCTCAAGCCCTCTGACAAACGAACGAACAGACAACGGAGACTTAGTAGTGGGGTTCCGTTGCCACCCTTCGGGTACGGAACCCTAAAAAGTAAAAAACTGTGGGCTTAAGATAGAAAACACAGAAACACACGGCGAAATCATCAAGCATCAAATTATGTTGTATTGTATTCAGCCCTATTTAACGTCCCACTGCTGGGCACGGGCCTCCCTTCAGTACGAGGAGGATTACGCCATAGTCCACCACGCTGGCCAAGTGCGGGTTGGCGGACTTCACATGTCTATAGAAAACTTGCTAGCTTCTCTCAGACATGCAGGTTTCCTCACGATGTTTTCCTTCACCGTTAAGACAAGTGGTAATCATGTTGGAAATGATTCGCACATGAAAATATCAGAGGTGCGAGATCCGGGATTTGAACCCGCTTCACTCGGTTTCCCAAGCGAGCGCTTTACCACTGGGCTACCACTGCTCAAAATCAATTTTCGAAACAAGAAAACCTTTGTTTAAGTGCAAAACTAAACTCACTCTTAACTTAAATTCTACATCCGCTTGGTATCCAGTCTCTTGACATATCACATGTACCTGTAAAAAAAAACAATTTTTTTTATTCAATTTTTTCTTCTGTGGCTTACAGGCGTGGGAATGTCGTGTAGAATACATTTTTTTATCAAAACTATTTTTTAATGGAGTCACTAAACAGCAGTTCATATTAATATAGGGTCTAATAAGGAATAATGAAAAAATAATTTAAATAAATGTCAACAGATGGCGTTGTATTGATTTGTTATCTAAGTTTGTGTAAAATTAACAAAAGACAAAATATACTTATTATAACTAGCGGCTACTCTAGAAAAACAAAAACAAATCTATCGCGCAGGAACCGTACATTTTTCCGGAATAAAAAGTAGACTGTGACTGTGTTATTTTGAAGTATAAGCTATATTATCGTAAAGTTTCATTAAAATTCATTTAGTAGCTTTTGCGTGAAAGAGTAACAAACATCTATACATCCAGATATCCATACATCCTCATAAACTTTCGCATTTATAACATATGTATACATTATTATGTATATTTATTTTAATGATTTAAAACAGATTAAAATAAGCACTTGGATAAATGCGATTTTAGATGCGATTTAATTTTAAATGTGTTAAAGTTACTGAAACATTTAATTAAATCCAGCAACAACTTTACATATTTATCATATTTTAAAAACTAAATAAAACACGACCAAAGTCTGCAGATTAACGGCATCTATTATTTATTTAAGCAAATAAAAATAGCCCGAATTAGCGTTTATGATTATTTTTGTATGGGATGGGACACCTGTATTATTTCATCTGGTTGGTATACTTTTCAGGTGTTTTGTAAGTCTAGTGGCTGGCAGATATAGCTACAGATCCACTCCAGGGGTCTTGGGTTCGAGTCTTGGGTCAAGTCATGTACAGTCAATGGAGTTTTTAAACGGTTTTATTTGACAATAAATTCTCAGTGACAGTACATAATTTTCCTCAACAAATAAAATACCTATTCGATCCCCATCTGCTTACTATATTTTAGGGTATTTTGTAGGTCTGGTCACGGGCATGTATAGTGCTACAAATCCGGGGGTCTTGGATTCGAGTTCCGGGTCATGCAAGTAAAGTCAATGGAGTTTTCTGACAGTATAAATATTTTAATTCACAATTCCAATTGAGAGTACAATTTTTTTATCTCCAACAAATAATAATAATATAATATAACATAACATAAAAATAAATACAAAGATAGAACAAAAATCTTAGCCGCCCCCGGGTGGGCTCGAACCACCAACCTTTCGGTTAACAGCCGAACGCGCTAGCCGATTGCGCCACGGAGGCGATGCGAGCAAGTCTCTAATATCTCATCATAATATAACGAATGTCATATCTTTATCTTAGTGCTCAAATATATAGACTTTTAAATGTCAAAACTGGTCAAGTACGAGTCGGACTAGCGTACAATGGGTTCCGTAACTTCGTACATGATATAACACTATGTATTAATCATTTTTTTTATTTGCATGGTAGCCATTTTGAAATTCGCTATCTTGTTTATTTACTATATGTTGTTATAGCGTCATTAGAAATACAAACTCTGAAAATGTCAACTCTTTACCTATTACGATTTATGAGATACAACCTACAGACAGACGGTCGGACAGCGTAGACTTTGGGTATAGAGCCCTAAAAAAGATGGAATAGCAAGACAGACTCACAATTATCGACAATACTAAAATCGAACCCCCGTACCTTTCCACCCAACTCCATACTGAGTGTTCCTATGACGATTCCCTTGCAATGTGCATATGGAGCAGTTGTTATGTACGTCTCTCCCCAGTTAAGGAGATGAATGCGAGCACAACCTTCTAATATGGCCGAAGTGGAGTTACCTGTGGAATAATCGATCTAATGTTATAAATGTGAATGTTTGTATGTGTGTATGTATGTCTTTGTGATAGATTATGAGCTGGAGTAACAAATAGGCAAACTGTTAGGCGCCCAGATCTTTATGTTGAGAAGACTGGACCAATTTTGATGAAATTTAGTATACAACTAGCGACTCACCCTCCCGCCGCTCGGGTTCGTCCCTAGTTACGTTTTAACGTTTAGTATTGATATCTCAGAGATGATATATTTTCCCGCAGTAAAAAGTATCCTATATGCTAGCTCAGATAACCAGCTATCATCATTCAAAATTTCATCAAAATCTGTGCAGTGCAGTTTTCTCGGGATGCAGTCACAGACAGATAGACAGACAGAAAAAACTCTAAAAACTATAGATTCGGCCTCTGTATCGATAATAATGTCTATTTCAATAAGATATTCCAAAAAAATATTTAATGTACAGATTCGACTGAGTTAGAATTTTATTATATGTACGTATAGATGAGACTATGAGCTAAAGTAGCATAAAGGGCTACTGTTAAAAAAATTAATTAAATTTAAAAAAAAAACTTACCATAAAACTTAGACCTAGCCAGCAAACTACCCTCTATGACGAACCCTTCTTTCCTATTTGAAATATAGAAGGCCGATACAGGGGGGTGGTGGGATACCTAAAAAAAACAATAATATTATTTAAAACAAAAAAACAAATAAATAGATAAATATACACACTCATTCTGATTCAGCTCTTTTTACCGTCCCATTGCTTGAAAAACGGACAAGTGCGAGTCGGATTCGCCCATCGAGGGTTTTGTATCATGAAACATTTAATTTACAATACATATATGAATGGTTACATACATATATGGAGTGTCACCCTTATTTATTTTTTTGCTCATTTAACCACAGAAATCAGTTACCATGATAGCCCAACCTATATAATAAATCTTCCATAGTAAGTAATATATTTGACATACAGACTTGACGAAATTATAAGGATTCCAATTTGCCTTTTGTGGAACCCTAATAATAAGAAAATAATAATACTAACTTGTTCAGCAATATAATACGTATAGGATTCATTGTTTCGATGTCGCCAGCAACATCTGAAGGTTTCTCCTAGGACAGGGTTGTAGGGTTTCTTCAACCCCTTGGGCTTACGGTACAACCCTGAGAGATACCACTTGAGCACCCCTTTGAACCTTTGATAAGGGTCTTCCATTGTTTGCGCCCTGTAAATTAATAAAAAAAGCTAATTAAATTTATTTCTATGTATATACTTATAATATACAAGCGGCTCACCCTCAATTCGCTCGGGTTTATCCCTAGGTTGCTTCCCCATACAAAATTTAATCCCCATTCTCACCCCTTTAAGGGATGATTTCCGGGATAAAAACTATCCTACCTTCCCAAGATTTCAAACTATCTTCTTACCAAAACTCACTTAAATCGGTCCAGTAGTTTCAGAGCTTATTCAGTTTATGGCTCAATTTTGGAATGCAATGTTTGAGTCAATATTCGAAATCCCTAAAATGTCTTAAATCAAATAAGAAACCATCTAAATTCCCATGCATTTAAATAATTTTAATAACAAGTTTCTCATTTTTCTTTATTAAGTAGCCATATATTGCAAAACCACAAAAAGTGAAATTCTTACATCCTAAGTCTTGATGCTTGAATCATCATCAGTTTACAAACTATTCGTCATAAAAAGGCAGAAGGTACCGGAAAATTTGCAAATTAAAAAAATATATTAAAAAAACATGGCCTAACTATACAAAATTAAAAAAAAAAAACAACTTACTGCGCCAACAAATCCGCATGATAATAATTATCAGACAATTTGTCTAAAAACGACCGAGGCTCTAATATGAAAGTCGGTAAGACCACTTTGGACAGGTCCATGCCAGGTCGGACCTGCTTCAAGAGGAACCATAGCAGAGATTTGTTCTCTTCTGCCACCTCTTCTACTAATTCTCCTGCCTGAAAGGAGATGATAAGAGAAAGGAGATGATATAAGATGACTGAATGCTGATAAAAATAGCTATTTCGCCAGAGCACTTAGTATGAGTTTTTTGACAATTATTCTCGAGCATGAGATTTACATTTCTTAACATGTTTAGAACTGCCATTGTTGAATTTAATTAGTTGGTTTAGGAGAAATATGGAAAGCTAAAATGCATTTTTACCTTTTTTCTGTTTTGAAACTAAACGCCCAAAAGAACTTGGTATTGATAGGATAGAATAGTACATCATACATGATTACTTATACTTTATAAACTATTATATTTAACTTAAGTAAATAAATATATAAGCACGTATTAGTACATATTGTTACGAAGTGCCTTGGTCACACAAAAAAGACACAAAAAAGATTTAAGAATTAGGCTAGGTTGCTTCCCCATACAAACTTTCATTCCCATTTTCGCCCCCTTACGGGATGATTTCCGGGATAATAAGTATCCTTTGTCCTTCCCAGAGTCTCAAACTACCTTCTAACCCAATTTCACCTAAATCGGTCCAGTAGTCTCGGAGCCTATTCAGTACAAGCAAACAAACAAACAAAGAAACAAACAAACATACAAACAAAAAAAAATGATCTTTAAATACTTATTTAGTAATTTAGTAAAGATTTAGAGATATATACCGTAAATATTTTACAACTTCAGGTACCTATCAATACTTTTTTAAAGTATACTTTTCGATTTAATTAAAACCAAACACTCACCACCCCAATCTCCCTATCCGGATCTTCAACATACGAGCTCTCTATCCTCGCGATGATATCCTGTTTCCTTATTCCAGGGTCATCCCTGTTTGTAGTCTCCGTCATCCCCGGCCTTGAACCCTCGCTGTCTGTGTCTGAAGCTGCTCCTGCTAATTCTATTGGAGACGTGCAAATTAGCTTTGAGGAGCTTTTTAGCAGGGAGTAAATAGCTCTAAAGGGGTGTTTAGTGAAATTAATTATAGGTTTTTAGCAGATTGTATATTAGTGGAGCATAACCGTAATGGGTCGCAGATCTCTGGTTCGAGTCTCATGCTAACAGCTAGACTTAACAGTTTAAGCACTCCATAGCGATAAATTTCGAGGACATTTTTTTAAAGAAAAAACCAAAGAAAATCTTTTTAATGCATATATTAAAATATGAATTTATTGGGGAATCCCCGATGCTCAAGTTCTTAATTCCCCTTCCTAAGTCCAGCCATGTTAACAAAAAGCAAATGACTACATCTTCAAAACTTTTGCTCTTTAAGAAACTTGGCTGTCTAGCGGAGAGATACTTATATTCTCCACCCATTTCTCAAAAAAAAAAACAAATAGCATGATACACACAAACATTTCTAGCTAAGGACCATACAGCTTTTGCATCTGAATTACTAAATTTCATAGAAAAAGCAGTTCTATAGAACTGCCAATATTGAATTTTCCCACAAATCTAATAATATTAAATGAGCAAATTTTGTATATAGGAGTATATATAGAAAATTTTGTGTATGTCGAAAACACATGTATATTAAGTTTTTTTTTTCTAAAAAAAAACGCATTTTTTATATCTTTCCCGGAAAACATCGAGCGAGGCTCGGTCGCCCAGGTACTTGCCTATAAAATGTTGATGCCTTATTATCCGTATTTAGAATAGTGGCTATATAGCGACATTAATCAGAAAACTAAAAAAATACGTAGTAAATTTATTAAAAACGCCATTGAATTCAAGACTTTCATGGGTCTTGCCCAAAACCTAACCATCGAGATCATTTTTTTAGGTACCAGCTTATCTGTTCTATGGCATTAAAAATATTTATATTATATGAGTAAATTAAAAATCTAATATAATCTTCTGATACGACATTACGACTTCTGATATGACATAAGACATTTCATCGCCATCTCTATAAGAGATCAATCTAAATTACATCTAAATCGGTCCAGTAGTTTCGGAGCCTATTCGGTACAAACAAACAAACAAAAAATCCTTCCTCTTTCTATTATTATTATAGATAAACGTACTAACTAGCAGGTGACAAGTTAACTGTCTCAATAATTAAAACAGAAAGCAGTTTAGCTATCAGTATATATGTATGCATGTGAATGTATGTCAGTTTATGTAAAACAAGTATTTGAAGGTCGTCTACGTAATATAAAATGTTATTTAATGCATTACTAATGTTCATTGAACTTTTCATTACTTCCATCATTTTATCCAATATTATAAAGAGGCAGAGTTTGTTTGTTTAAATGCGCTAATCTTACGAACTACTAAATCCGATTTGAAATATTATTTTGCTTTAGATAGCCCGTTTATTGAGTAACGCTATAGGCTATTATATCTATACTAATATTATAAAGAGGTAAAGTTTGTGATATTGTGTTTGTGAATTTGTGATGTTTTAGGGGGTAATCTCTGGATCTACTGAACCGATTGTCACAGTTCTTTTACCAATAGAAAGCCACGTTCTTTCTGAGTGTCATAAGCTATATATTAACTCGCAGAATGAAAAGACTTTTTCATGGTAGTCGGATTTGCAAAGTAAGCGGGAAAAAAACGGTCGAACGAAAACGTTTCTTACGAACGCTGCCTTAACAATGAGAGATATATGATTATGTTTTAGAGAAAAGTTGTAGAGCTTAATAATGCCAATTTATATATTTTTATCCTGGAATCATCCCTTAAGGGGATGAAAATGGGGATGAATGTTTGTATGGGGAAGCAAGCTAGGGACGAACCCGAGCGAAGCGAGGGTGACTCGCTAGTCTTATAATATATAGTATGTCTATTCAATACTAACCGCCATGTAATATACAGTAGGTATATAATAAAAATGAACTGCTGTTCGTCGGTAAGCGAATCAATTGATAACACCAACTGGTCTGGACCAAATAGTATAAGTTTTTAAACGATATTAATAGATTGACTTAAGTTTTAAGGGGTAGAAAATTGGAAAAATTTACCGAGAAAATGGAAAATTCTGAAAGAGCTTATCTCCATAGCATTTTTGTTTTATTTACTTGAAATCAACTTGTTTCCCATGAGAATCACCTAATAATATATTCCTAATCGATTTCACACATGACGGTCAATCTCACTAAGACTAGCCAACTGCGTAGGAGATACAAGTGTTGTGCAAAGGCAAGTGCACTCTCTATTCTCCTTCATTTTCGAAGTCCAATGGGGCGATACTTCAATAAGGACAAGGTACGTGGATAAAATACCGCTAACTTCCCAAATTGATATTGACGAAGTAATCTGTACTCAACTGAGGCCAACAAAAAGATAATTGAATTAAATTGAATTTTGCAAATCCGACCTATAAATGAGAATTTAAAAAAAATCCAGTCGACCCTGGACTCGAACCCAGAACATCCAATCCACAGCAGCATACGCAAGATTAGATCTAGGCAGTTGAGAATCACATAATGTATTACTAATTAATATTGTGCGTGATTCCGACTCGAACTTGACCTATTTCTATTTATCGTACATAAAGACGTAAGTATTCTCCAATTATGTCATATGTTTTACGTAATATTTAATTAGTGACGTGATGTTAGCATTGCGAGTACAATTTATTTGAAGTACTCAATTTTATGACTACTTCATACTATCTATGTATTTATATCTATATATAAATGGTCAAAGACAAAACAATTCAGGACCTTCTCCTGTGTTTGTGGAACGACTTTTTGTTTAGTTTAGTAGCTATGGACGAGATTTAGTGTTATCAATAAAAGAAACGGTTCATTTCAGTAATCATTATGCTCGAATTTCCACCATCGGGCGAATTATATGAAAGATAGGTTTACAAACCATTGAAGATTTGATATCAATTTCTGAAACCAATGGGCTACAAATAGAAGCAATAGCTATAATTGTTAAATAATAGAAAAATGAAAAAAAAATGGGAATGACATTTTGTTTTCTACGACATAACGATTAAATTTGCCATTTCGATACAATTTTTTAAATATTCAATTCTACGACGATTGTAGAATTATATTTTATAAAATCCTCCTGGTGAGAAATTTCGCTATAGATAATATAGAGATTATGGCTATATTGTACTCTCGAATAATAATAATTATTATTAATATTAGAGTGTCTGTGTATAATGTCAAAACAGCTTTTTACTAAATGCATATGAAATTATATATGGTACTTGTAGGAAAAACACAATTTTTGAATTTGTCTGTTTGTCTTCGAAACGGATGGACTGATATTGACGGAACTTTCACTGAGAGATAGCTAACATTATAAGGAGTAACTAAGCTTAAAAAAAAGGAACGTAAGTCCCTAATAAAGTAATATTTAACTCTATCCGACCAATAAAAAAAACTTGGAGGTAGCAGGTTCGATTCTTGTTAGAAACAACAGATTTTTCAAATTGAACAGACACAGGTATCTACTAAAAAAGCCTGACGCATACACTATTAAGGTGGAAGATATGCTAAGTGGCACAACGTGTGAGATAAGGTCAAGTAAAACCTAACGTACGGCTACAAATATTTTTATACGAACAAGTATTTTACAATCCAATGACAGTAGTAGTCGCTTCAATTTTTGAATCAAGTTTTAGATCAAAAAGATCAGAAATCTTGAAAAAAAAAACTTTGTCTTTAGAAATTTTAAGTAACTATTTTATAGTTCCACTAGCATTTCCCGCGGCTCCGCCCGCATTCAAATGAGAATAACCTAATTCTTAGGTGTTACATATTAGTATACTCTTACATTGCAGTTTTTGTATTTATTCTTAGAAATTAGATATATTCCCGCGGTAAAAAGTATCCTATATGTTGACCCGGATAACCAGCTATCACCATACCAAATTTCATCAAAATCCCTCCAGTGGTTTTTCCGTGATGCGGTAACAGACAGAAAGACAGACAGACAAAAATTCTAAAAACTATAGATTCGGCCTCTGTATCGATAATAAAGTCTATTTCAATTAGATTTTACAAAAAATATTAATATTATAGTACAATTTTATTATATGTATAGATAGACTTTTTCTTCCCCCTATTTAACAGCTTTAGCATTTTTTGTGTAGTCATATAAAGGTACTTTAAAACACAAATTCGTCTAAGATCTTAATGCGAAAATCATAGTTCGAACTTACATTTTATGATTAAATCCTTCTTTAAGCAAAAGAAATATTTCACAGATTTTGACGATACGTTTTGTTCAGTTTGTTAGTGACCCTACTTGTTATGCCAGCGGTCGCGGGTTCGAGTCCCGCTGGGCGAATTCATTTATGTGATGAGCACGAATGTTTGTAATGATGATGTTCTCCTGACCGATTCCGGCCACAGCGGCCAATCTCATTGAGACGAGCCAACTGCGCAGGAGATATTATAGTGCACAAGTGTACGCGCAGACACAGCGTGCACTCTCTATTCCTGTCACTCTCATACTCTGGTGGGACGACCACTCGATACGACCAGTGAGAGTTAAGGCGCACGACCGACGGCTTTACGTGCTCTCCGAGGCACAGGAGTGAAACACCACCAACTTCCCAACTCCGGGCTGTTACTGAGGCTTACTATACAGAAAGACTCAATAACTAAACATGGCCCGACCCAGGAGTCGAACCCATTACCTCCGGGTGTGCAGCCGTACATGCTAGTCACTACACCACCGAGGTAGTTTGTACTACAGTCATGGGTGTTCATATTTATAATATGTATGTATTTAAAGTTATAGATGTATATGTAGGTATCAACTATCTAGTGTCCATAACACAAGCCGGAACTAAATGGTTCTATGTATTTGTCCCAACATATTATTATATTATATTAAATCAAAATGATTGAAAGTAAGCTTCGGAATATAAAGTTTACCTTGCAAAGACGACTGACTTAAAGTTTCTTCTGACACAATGTTATTATA